AGTGGCGCTGGTCCTGGGTTTCCCAACGCTGTGGTCAGGCTTTCAACCGGGGCTGGATAGGGCTACAGGATCCACCTACACTGGCCCACCCGGACAGCATGGGTCCCCTGGTCACCTCCCTCCCCCCACCATGGGCCTCTTTACCTGTGACCTGTCCACACAGGTGGTCTGAGGTCTACATCATTTGAAACGTTGGGGTGGGGGCAGGTAAGACTCGCTTCAACTTCCTGTTACACAGTTTCCAACTTCCTGTTTAAAAACACCCGCAGCAACTATTTGTAGCATTGCAGGGGAGACACACACACAGAGCATTCATTCGAATTAATAACCTCCAAATTCAGAGCAGCCATTGTTTGGGGAGGAGGTAGGATAAGGTAGGGAGGGTCCCTGGGGATTTGATTTCATGGGTTGAAGGGTGTGTGTTTAGTGGTTCACAGTACTGTACTGTACCTGACTTCTCCTCCCCCACCCCCTTTTTGGAGACAAGGTCTTGCTCGCTCTGTAGCCCTCCTAGTGTCCTCAAACTCTCAATCCTGCCTCAGCCTTCTAGCGCTGGGACTACAGGTGTGTGTGAGGCCATAGATTTTTGTACAGCAATTCTCAGACATTTGGGCCTCAGGATACCTTTACACACTGAAGCTTGTCAAAGGTCCCCAGAGTGTTTATGTGGTGCATCTGTCCATATTTCCTGTTAGAAAATAACCCTGTGCGACTTTGGAAATACTCCGGTGCCGTGGTTGGAGCGCGCTCCCCGAAATTCACCTGCAAACTTAGCTCTTCAGTGTTGGAAGGAGGGGCCTGTTGCCAGGTATTTGGGTTGTGAATGGATTAATGCTTGACCCTCAGGAATGGGTTACTACGTTTGGCTTTTTCTCTCTTGCCCTTCTGTCCTGAGTTGAAGCAGCACAAATGTGGCCACCTGATCTTGAACTTCTAGAACTGTGAGCCAAATAAACCTCTTTTCTTTTAAATTACCCAGGCTCAGGGATTCTGTGATAGCAACAGAAAATGGACCGAGACAAATGTATTTTCATTCCTTTTAAAATAACAAGCTCTTTCAGGTATAATCCCAGTACTCAGGGGGCAGAGGCAGAAGAATCTTGTGTTTGAGGTCAGCTTCATTATAGTGAGACCCTGTCTCAACATAAAAGAAATAAATAAGATGAAAACCAACAGCAGTAGATAGCACAGAAGCCTGTGTTGCAGGCTCCCCAGCCCATAACAGCAGGAAACTCACAGCAGGAAGAAGAGGCTGCTGATGCCTTGCTTGTTTTGGGAACTTACTGAAAGTCTTCATTCAGGATCTGCGGGTAGACAGCTGGGCAGGGCTCGCCGAGTTTCCAAACTCACTTCCAACAGTTTACGTGTCCATCAGTCACGAACAAATAATGGCTCCTACTCGCCCAATCCTAACGGAGCCTCCAAAGACCCACCTTGAACCTGAGCCTCTCCCTTCCCTCCAGACTGTCCAGGTAGGTGAGATGCTCACTGAAGCCCACTGAGCACTCGCCGGGTGTCAACCTGTTGCTTGATGGCACTTTGGGAAGTTGGCGTTCAACACTTAAAAAGACATCTGTTCAATTCTAAGCAAATGCTCTTTGGCTGAGCCCCACCCCCAGCCCTCTGGTTCTAAGGCACAAAAAGCTCTTCTGCAGCTGGTCCAGGCCTGTCAACTAGGGGTCTGTGTGGCCTCTGTTGACAGCAAGTCCTTAGTTTTGATTAAATCAAACTCATCTATTCTCTTGTGAACACCCTTCCTCTACTTTCTCAGGTATTCTCCACGCTTTCTCCCACGCCCTTGACAGTTTTGTCTCTTAAATTGCATCTAACTCTTCTGAGGTTCATTCACCTTTAGGAAGTCACAGGGATCCTTTCTGCATTTCCACACTTTCTCAGCACCACCCCTCACCCAAGGAACCACCTCAGTCAAGCACCACCCTCCCCAGGTAACAGGTGTGTCCTGTGCTGGAGCATCCAGGTGTGAGGAGTTTCTTACCACCTGTGCCATTCCCCCAACTTCTTGGTGAAGCAACTGTTTTGTAATGCACTTTCTACCAAAGGAAGAAAAAGCCCTTCCTGAGTGGTGTGGGAAGCCCCCTGGCATTCTGGTTGGCCTGAGTGGGCACAGGCAGTCAAGGCCCGTTGGGGCAGAGGGGCGGGCAGCCACAGCCACAAAGACATGCTTGTCCCCAGACAGAGACGGCCCTTGTTCATGGAGATTTTTGCTGGTGGTACAGCGAGGCGCAGAGTGGTGGCCACCAGCAGTCCCATCTGCCAGAGGGGCTTGCAGGACAGGCACTCGCTTGGCCACCCTCCCTGAAGTCTAAACTCTGGGCTCTTCCTCCATCCAGTGTGGGCACTCCCTATCTGCAGACAGGCCTTCTGCAGCCCAGGCCCCGCCACAGTGCTGGGCCCTCTTCTCTCCTGCTGACTTGTAGGCAAGGGTCAGGATGGGGTGAGTAGTTAAGAACAAGCATGTTGCAATTAGGGAAATTGTGATTTGGTTCCTATGTCTCTTGGGTCACACCTGTCCCTAGGGACTGCAGCTGAGGCCACTGCATGCTGAGGACTGTGCTTAGTGCATGGTTAATAATTTGTCAGCTTTCATTTGCAGGCCATAGATAGTGACACCCTCAGAACAGAAAATGGGATAATCACACCTGGGGTAGGCGACCAAGTGGGGCACAGAGGGCTGAACTGCCCTGATGCTGTGTGACCTTGGTTCCACCACACCATGCAGCAGATGGGGTCAGTGACCTGTCCTGCCCTTGAGAGGATCCTGGAGGTGGCAGGAATTCCCTCTGAAGAATCAGGGACAAATTCTGGGAGCCCAGAGTCCTGAGCAGACAGGCAGGGCCAGGGTGCCTAGGAGCCTGCCGCTCCTAAGAGTGGGAGCCTGCTTGGGTCTAGGGGTCTGGGGCCTGTTTAGCTATCCTGGAGGCAGCACAGGGACAGAGTGGGTGGTGGCCTGGGATGGTGATAGGGGAGGAGACAGGGAGGGCTGGCTGGGGAAACAGGTGAAGGTGCTGGAGGCCCCAAGCCCAGACCACCCAAACCAGAGGGGGCACCTGGAGCTCCAGACTATCCTGAAGGTCCAGCCCTGGTGATGGGGGTAGGCAGGTAACACCTGGGAATGGCTAGGACTGGGGATGGTCTCTATCCAACTCCCAGGTCAGGTGTCTCTGGGCAGCAGAGGCCCCCTTCTGAGCAGGTGGAGCCCATAGCACTCCCCACCCTGAGGAAGAGGCTTACCCAGGCAGGAAAACTGCCCCTCACTAGTCCTCCATTTTCTCTTGGTTCAAGTTCCCTGTCTGAGGGGAAAATCCCAGTCAAGACAGAAGTTTAACCCTCTTCTCCTGCTCTGAGGAGGGTGATGGTCACCAAGTCCAGGTCATGGCTTGGAGGACACAAGACACCCCCAGGTTCCCTTGCCCAGATCCTGCTGGGCAGACTTGGCCCAGGTGGGCCTATCTGAGCCAGGAAGCTGGTGCCTCCAAGGGCCGAAGCCAGGCCTGGCTGGGTGGTAGATCAGCAGAAAGATACAGACTCCACAGTCTGGCTCCACGGGGTACAAACTGCTCCCTGCAGTTACCCCTGCCCACCACATCAGAACCCCAGGACTGGGTCCCAGGAGGATCCACCCCAGGGTTGGGTTCTACCAGCAGCTTTGGGGGGTCACATGGCTAATTCCCTCTGCTGAGTCTGATGATCCAGCACCCTCTGGCAGCCACTCAATGCAGCCTGCAGAGCTGCCAGCAGAGGGAGCCAAAGACCTCCTCCAAGGCTGGGGCTCAGATGAGCTCAGATTGACCCTGGGCAGGAGCTCCTTGGAGAGGAGTTGGAGCTGATGCCCCAACTGTGGTTGGGTACCACAGGCCCACAAGCTCTTTTTTCGGCATCTCTCTCAGCTTGAAGCAAAGCTCTCCAAATCTGGCTTCGGCTTTGCCTCTGACTCATGCCCCTGGCAGACCTGACTTCACCGGCCCTTAGTATGTGCCCCTGGAAATGCGGTCTGGGTGACAGGCTTGGGCCTTCTCTCAGTCCTCATCTCACAGAAAGGTTCAGATAGCTGTAGGGGTGAAGAGTGTCCCTTGGTGTGTTCACAGTCCCGTCTGACCAGAGCCATGGCCTGCCCTCTGCTGGACAGCTCTTACAAGAGGTAGACTCAGGGTGCCCCAAGACACCCCAGCCCAGGAGACAGACACACAGCTGCTAGGAGACAACTGATTTAATGATATAGCTTAGGAGTTCCCCCACCTCTCATCTCTGGATGTGATGCTCAGTCCAGGACCCCAAGACACAACAGCCACCAGCACACAAGCAGGCTCCACTGGCCTGGGAATGGTCAGAGACAGCTGCTGTCCTGGGCTCTGTGGGTGAGGGTGGGTGTCTGAAGCCAGTACTCATGTCCAGGCCATCTCCAAAAGGGTGAAGGGCACAGGATGCCCCACCCCAGTGGGCACCCAAGGCCTACAGTCCTGGAGCCCCTGCCCAGGCATCCTCGGGAAGTAGCATCCCGAGGGAGCAGGGGGCAGATCTGGAGGCAAGGTTACCAGCCTAGCTAGTTTGGAGTTTGGGTCCATCCTGCAGTGTGGGGGGCCAGTCGTGGTGTAGAAGCAAGCAGCCAGGGAGAAGGCATGGAGACTGGGTCAGTGTCACAAGGGCAAGGAGCCCTCCTCTGCCCAGGGGAGGCCAGAGAAAGAGACTCTGCTCACCCAAGGAGTCCCATGAACTGGGGCAGGTGGAGGCGGGGCTTGCATTGCCAGGCGCAGGTTTGGCTGAGGCCAGCCTTGGTTTGGGCGGGTGCATGTGGGCTGGGGCTGGGGTGGCAGAGGGGCTGCCCACAGGTGTTTCTGGGCCTGGAGGCAGGTGAGCCAGCCCCATCCAGCCCATCTGTGTCCTTGATATAAAATAATACACATATAAAAATAATACTCCATGCATTGGGGATGAGTTCACCACAGGTGTGGCCTCTCCTCTGCAGCAGCTGAAGTGACACTGGGCAGGCTGGTCTAACTGTCCTCAGCCCTTCTCTGGTTCTTGGAATGAAACTTGTTCATGAGTTCCTCCAGCTCTGACCCACTTTGCTGCTTCTAGGGAGAAGAGATGGTGCATCAGTCTGGGGGCCACGGGCAAGGCCACACAGCTTCCCCCTTTCCCAGAGAACTCAGGAGTAGGTACGTGTACAGGGGGAGGCACCCACCTCCAGGAAGGCCTTCTGCACTGTGAGCTGGCTGTACACACGGATGCCCTCCTCTCCACACACCTTCTTCAGCTCGTCCTTGTTGAGTGAGAAGAGCTGGGGCCCAGTCAGGATGCCCAGGTTATCCACAATCCTGCGGGCAGACAAGGTGGGTGGGTGTGAGAATGGGGCCCTGCCCTGGCAGCATGCATGCACCCTGCCACCCACCCACCTGTCCAGCTCCAACTCACCGGCCACTGAAGGCCTTGGCTTCCAGCCAGGCCCGGACCTCATCAGGGCCCGACTCAAAGGTAAGCGGCAGGTGCACAGGCTGGCTGCGCTCCACGCGGAAGTGGCGCTGCGGCTGAGCCTTGATATGACTGATCTTCTTCATGAGCTCATCATTGACCTCGTCCATGTGGTGGATGAGCTCTGTGGGGCGCACTTGCTCAGCTGCCCGTGGACTGCCCTGATCCCTACCTCATTCCCCACACCATGCAACCCTCACCCCATCCCCTGCAGAAGTGGCCACTCACCGTCTTTGTTCCCTGCAAAAGTTGGGGGCAGTTTGTGGGTTGGACTGGAGGGACTCCAGTATTTCTGGCTGGCCTGCAAGGGATGGGGAACAGGAGAGGAGATAAGGGTGGGGGGTGGTTATCAGGACCTGCCCAGGCTGCCATTCTTGGCTAAGAGGAGTCGGAAGACAGTGGAATTCCAGGGCCCAGAGCCGGGTGTAGAGCTGAGACTCAGCTGTACCCTCACCCCCAGGGGTCCTGACTATGTTTGGGGACAGAACAGAGTTGGAGGGGGGTCAGGAGGTCACCTGCTCCAGGGGGGTGCCCACATCCTCTGGCCGAGCCTCAACCAAGATGTTGCAGGGCACGTAGCCAGACTGGCCACTGCGATTTCTCAGCTTCCACCACTGCCGGCCATCCTCCAACACCTGCAGCAAAAGGGGGGCAGGACGTCAAGTTGCTTTTGAGGCCGCCACCATCCTCTGCTCAGACCTCTGCCCTACCCAGGCCACCAAGCACTACCGTGGGGTGCTGCAACCACCCACGCAAACTCCATTTGCAGAGGCAGAGGGCTCCAGGGGTCTCCCCTGAGCCCAGCCCTTTCTCCCCTGGGCACCATCCTAGACCAAGAGGCTGTCTTCATTCGGCCTGACCTCTGCGGGGTCCTGGAGGGAGGGTGCCTCTTAGCCTGACTGTGGTTATAGACCCCCCACCCCCACAGCCTGCTCCACTTTCTGTCCCTCAGTGGGTGGCCTGGATTCAGGATTGGCACAAAGGCAGCTGGTGCAGAGAAGCACTTCTGGGTGGGCATGCATGACAAGCCCCTGCTGGGTCCCACTGGAGGGAGGGCTGTCTACCACAGGGGTCCTGCCTGTCCTTGGGAGTCCCCCAGGTAAGAAAGCTGTTCCACCAAGCTGTGCTGGGGGCCTGGGAGACCCATACTGTGCACCCAGTAGAAGCCGAGGGCCAGGGACCCTGGGGAGATGGGTCCAGCAGCTGTCCACACCCTGGAAGTTCCCCACGTCCCGGGCAGCCCAACCCCTTACCTCTAGGACTTCATCCCTGAGCACAGATAGCTCGTTGGCGTTGCGTGCTGTGAAGTCGTACAGGATCTTCACATACGTGGTCATGGCTGGTGTTGGCTGGTAGCTCCTGTGAGGACCAGGAGGGGCTGAGGCCCAGGGCTGGGCTGGGGTCTCCTTCTAGGCTAGGAGAGGTTGGGGGCAGCAGCTTCCCAGGTGCGTGGCTGCTTCCTGTTGTGCTGCCCAGGTCTCAGTAGAAAGAGGGCTGCGCTTGCCAGCCCCAGCCAGGAATGGAAACTGTGACACCCGGAGGTGGGGGAGGTAGGGCAGGCAGGAGTGGGCAGGACACACTCCGCACTCCGCACTCCGCACTCCGTGAGGCTGGCCCAGCTCAGCCTGCCTCAGGGGTCTTCCGCCCTGCCCCCGAGGGGGGAATGGAACCACAGGTGCTCCTGGGGAGTAACCAGGTCTGGCTTTCTCCAGCTGACCATGCAGCCAGGATGCTGCTGTTCTCAGAGCCATAGCCCCTTGGAACTAACAAACATCCTCTCTCTGGAGCACTCACCTAGGGGCACAGGGTGAGCTCTGGCTTGGTGGAGTAGATAGATAGGTTGAAGATGTTCCTTAGGTGAGGTCCTAGCTAGGTAACTTTTTTTTTTTTTTTTTTTTGACAGTACTGGGGTTTGAACTCAGGGCTTTGCACTTGCTAGATAAGTGTTTCACCACTTGAGCCACACCTCCAGTCCAGTAGCTAGGAACCATGGGCACCAGGCTGACAAGGGTGGAGTGGGGCTCACTCATTTGAAATATTTCCTACCCCTCCTTTCTGAAACTGCATCTCAGTTTCAGATCCTGGGTCGGGGGGTGGGGCCAGGAAGGGTGGGGTACTCCTTGTTTCCAGGTGTGAGCGCTGTCCACAGTATATGCAAAGGTAGCTCAGACCCTCAGTCTCCTGGCTGCACAAGGCTGGACCTAAGTCGGTCCCAGCAGCCCCACAGGGGACAGTGCTCAGTGGAGATGTTTAAGTTCAGTGGTTTAGAAAGTTTCTAACCTGTTTTTTCCCCTTCTTTTTTTTTTTTTTTTTGACAGTGCTGGGGATTGAACCCAAGGCCTTATGCATGCTAGGCAAGCACTCTAACACAGAGCCACATCTCCAGCCCATTCGAACCTTTATTTTAAAACATAAACATGGCGTGGTGGTGTGCCTCAAGCAGTAAGAGCTCCTGCCTAGCAAGCATGAGGCCCTGAGTTCAAACCCCAAACCACCCAAAAAAGAAATTTTTTTTTAAAACCCATGAACATGGAGGCATGAGAAGAGCTGACGTGTTAGGGTGGTGACTGGAAAATTTCCCTCCGGTCATGTTACATAGGTAAAATGAAAGCTGGGTTCTAAAGAGGGTACTTTGAAGCACTTGGACAAGGCATTTGCCACCACACGGGTTGGATCTCGGGAGGGTGCCACTCTCACTTTGAGGGGGCTCACCTGTGAGTCTGTGGGGAGCTGACTGGTGGGACGGTGTCCCCCGGCACTGTGGGCTTTCTGGAGTGGCGCATCGACAGTCGGCTCATTAGGGATGGCTGTGAGGAAAGGGGGAACCTGGGCTTGATGTGGGGTGGGGGCTGGGCAAGAGGGGGGTGACAGATGGAGTCCCAGGACAGTGAAAACCACTGAGGACAGGGCCAGGCGCCCAGACTGGTCGGCCACAGGACAGATGCACAGGTGCAGCCTGAGCTGTGGCTGCAGAGGGATGAGAGCAGTGAGGGAAGTGGGCTAGGAGGTAGGCTCTGGAAAGTGATGGGGTCAGGCTGTGGCACTGACCTGGTCATCAGGGGCAGACACCAGTCCCTCCACTTCCCAGGGAGCCTCCTGCAGCACATCCAGGGGTGGCTCCCAGCCGCTATGGAACTTGGGCACATAGAGGGGCACTTGCAGCTCCCGAGGCCACTCAGAGCTGAGGTGGGCGGTCCAGGGGGTCAGTCATGTCCCTCGCCAGAGATGCCCTCCAGCCCTCCACCCTGGTCCACATCCTGCTCCCCCCACCCCGTACCGGGGCCTCGTCCAGGTCTCCCCCAGCGACTCCCACAGCAACATCTCTTTGGGTACCAGGTGGCCACGCAGGAAGCCCACAGCATCTCTGGAGAGCAGGGGGCTGGAGACGGAACGTGCGATGTCTGGGCCTCCACAGGTGTTGACGATCTGGGGCACAGCATGGGTTAGAGGGGCTGTGACCCACCAGACCCACCCTGCTGCCTACCCACTGGCAGGTCCACAGACTGGCCCTTGGGAAGAGGCTTTGGTCCCGTGACAGCCTAGACACAACCCAAGGCGGGCACTTGCTTGTCCCACCCCTCCCCAGGACTGACCACCCTGTAACCCCACCCGACCGGCCCAGGCACCAGGTCCAGAGGTCCAAAGAGGAAGTGCACCAGCTCTGCCGCACTCGGGTTCTGAATGTGCTTCTGTAGCTTTGCCTACAAGGAGACAAGAGAGCTGGTGACAGGTGTGTGTGGGGGCTGACCCTCCACCCTCAACACCCACACAAGGCATGGCTGACTCACCAGCAGGTTAATGGCCAGCTTGGTTTTCTGGAAACAATCAACAAACTCGCCTTCGGAGGGGGGCCGGGCCCGCAAGGTGAGGACGCCCTCTGGTGTGTGTATGTGGTGGGGGGAGGGTTACAGGAGGGAACATGAGCCTGCTGGCCCTGGCCCCCCTGCCCTGTGCTCAATGAGCCCTGCCTGCTGTCCCCATACAGACTGGACCTTTCTCTAACAGGGTAGGTGCGTGTCCCGTTGTGTGTGTTACCCACCACTGCTCTGGCTCCTACCAGCCCCGCCCTGCAGCCCTGCCCCACTGCCCTGCCCTGTGGCCTCCACCTGCTGGCCCCTTCTTGCCCTTCTTCTTCCCCTTCTTCCGCTGGTTTAGCTGCTTGAAAGCCTCTGCCGCCTTCTGCAGCCGGGCCACGAACCATTCAATATCGTCCAGGGCACAGTTGAGGATTTGCTGGGGTGGGAAGAGGTCAGGGGTCAGGCACAGCCACCGCCCCCCCCTCCCCCCGCAGAGAGGGGTGGCAAGGCTGGCCCAGGGCCTGATGGGAGCCAAGAGCAGGAGAGGGCCCTGCCGAGCTGGCACTCACCGTCTCCTTCTCAATCCTCTGAGCCAGGATGGCCCGTGGCTCCTCATCTTGTGATTCTCGCTGGTGATAGCCTAACAGGACAGAGCAGCTGCTGAGGTGGGGGACAGCGTGGGGAGGCGGCCCAGACCCAGAGGAGAGCCTCCGCCCAGCCCCTCTACCTACCTGGCTCACTGAGTGGCACTGGTAAGCCCACGCGGTTCCTGGCCTGAGGGGAGTCCCCAGCCTGGCGCTGGAAGGGGATGGGGGCCGGGCTCCGGGGAGGGGGCAGGATAGACTGCCGCTGCCGGATCTTTTCCTGGTGCCCCCTGGAAGGGTAAGCAAGGCCCAGCTCAGCCTGACCACGGCCCCCTGCTGGGCTGCTGCTGTCCTACTGCCCTTCTTACCCAGCCTAGCACCCAGGGCGAGACCCCCAGCTCTTCATGCCCCCCGCGGCCCTACTTCAGGGTCTGTGGACGCATCTTCTTCCCGAGCCGGCAGTCGGCCAGCGCGCTCTCAATGTCCTCCTGCACCAGCTCGGCCTGGGGGTACAAGTGTGTCAGGCTGGCCCAGCAGGCACCGTGCATGCAACCCCCCCACCCCCTGCCCCACCGGTCACCTGCCTCACCTCCACCTCATCGCAGTAGAAGAAGTGGATGTCGGGTTTGCTCTGCTCTGAGTCCTGGCACACCAGCAGCAGCACCGAGGGGTACCGCAGCTGGTTCAACACCGTCTGGCTGTGCTGCACAGTGGGCAGTGGGAAGTCCTCCAGCTCTTCCTGGGGGCAGGCAGAGGGTCAGGTACAGGCATGGACCCCAACACAGATGTCGGCTACGGCCACAGGCAGAGTGGACCATGACTACAGCTGACAAAGGGACCGATGGCCCCAACCATGGATGCAACTTGTGACCACAGCATGTGGAGTTTGCTCCACAGACACACATGTAACTTGCAGGTGCGCAGAGGGACAAGGGCAGACGTGGCCACGTGGCCCATAGACGGGGATATGGATGCCAACAGGGACTGGCTACAGCTATGGGCACCCTTGGTACAAACCCTGGGACACAGCTGGGCCTGGCTCACTACAGCTGGCAAGGCTCTCTCACCATGGATCTGCCTCTGGATGCACCTTAGATGACTGCTCTGTCACCCGGCATTTGCTGAGGGTAAGGGAAGCCAGTCCAGGCTGCCCAAAGCAGCCCAGACTCAGCTTGGTCAGGTCCTCCCTGCCTGCCCTTGGCTCTGCTCCCTTCCACAAGCCAAAATGGTGGAAAACACCAGCCACACATCTGGGGAAAGCAGACATTAGGTCCAACCTCTCTACCTCCTCCCTGTGTCCACTGTGACTGGCCAGTACCTGAGACTCGACGTCCAGCAGCCTCAGTGACTTGTCATTCACTTGGAGCAGCACCTCCTGGGCCCACACCTTCTCCTTGGAGCTTAGCTGCACCAGCTTTCGGATGGCATCGTCCACGGATGTGATGGCCTCGCTCTTGTCCATGATGAACGTGGCCAGGTGCTGGGGGATGGCCAGTGATCACTGCTGGGCAGAGCACTCCTTGTGCCCAAGCCCAAGCATTAAGGGAGACAGCCTGTAGACTAAGGGGTCTCAGCCAACTGGAGGTCCCAGGGGCCACAGCCCCTCCTCAGATGGGGGGTCTCCATTCTACCCTGATGGACATCTTTTGGGGGGTCATGGTTGTCAGATAAATTCTAGACTCCTCTGCAGCCTCTCACCACTGCCATAATCTCTCACACCTCCTGCCACTGGGCTCTAGGGTCAGCAGCTCCCTGGCTCCAGCCTTTGCCCTTGCTGCCTTGGCTTCTCCGTTTGCAGACCTCACCCTCCTTGGCCACCTTCGCTTTTATTTCTCAGGCCCCACACGCTGCTGCCTGAGGCAGAACCTGACCTGGCTGTAGGGCTTGCTGCTTTGTCCCCTTGCCCAGGACAGTGCTACACAAGACAGAATGAAAGCTTCGGTGGGGAACCTGTGGCCAGCCCAGTCCTTCCTGCCCCGTGTGTCTTTGCAGGAGCCTGGCTTAGGCTCCCTCACCTAGTAAAGCTAGGCTGATTACAGGCCCAAGCTTCAAGACTGCAAAGAATCGCCAGGCACCGGTGGCTCATGCCGGTAATCCTAGCTACTCAGAAGGCAGAGATCAGGAGGACCATGGTTTGAAGTTCATGAGATCCTATCTCAAAAAAAACCTATTACAAAAAAGGGCTGGTGGAGTGGCTCAAGGTGTAGACCCTGAGTTTAAGCCCCCGTACTGCAAAAATAAACAAATAAAAACCAGATGCTGGCAGTTCAGGCCTGTAATCCCAGTTACTTGGCAGGCTGAGATTGGCAGGATTCTAGGCTAGCCCAGGTAAATTACACAGGAGACCCCATCTCTAAAATAACCAGAGCAAAATGGACTGGAGGTGTGGTTCAAGTGGTAGAGCTCCTGCTTTGCAAGTGTAAAACCCTGAGATCAAACCCCAGTCCCACCAAAAAAAAAAAAAAAAAAAAAAGTCTTGCTAGGGTGTAGCTCAGTAGTAGAGAGTTAGCCTAGCATTGCTGGGGACCAAACCCAGCACCACAAAAATAAATAAATAATAAATAAATAAATAAAAATAAAAATTTCTAGCTAGACATGGGTATACCTCTGTAATCTCAGTACTGGAGGCAGGAGGACTTCAAGTTTGAGGTTAGTCCAAGCTATATAGCAAGACCCTGTCTCCAAAAACCAAAAAGGAAAATCAAATCAAAACAAAACAAAACAGAAAAACAGGCAATAGATGTGATGAAGAGTTAATTTTCTTTTCTTTCTTTTTTTTTCCCCCCTTTTGCAGTACTGGAGTTTGAACTCAGGGCCTCATGCTTGCTAGGCAGGTACTCTACACTTGAGCCCCGACCTTAACCTGTTTTTGCTTCAGTTATATTTTAGATAAGGTCTCACATTTTTGCCTAAAATCAGACTTAGACCACGATCCTCCTACCTATGGTTTTGGCTGCCTGTGTAGCTGGAATTACAGACATGAGCCACCACACCCCGTTTATTCATTGAAATAGGGCCTCTCTATATTATACCCAGGTTGGTCTCAAACTCGAAATCCTCCCAATGTCCAGCTCCCAAGCAGCTGGGTTACAGGCCTGAGCCACGGAGCCAGGTGCTAATTTTCTTAACACAAAGACCAATATGCATTGTACTGACAGTACTGATTGTGTTAAAAGTTTTATTTTATTAAATATATTAAGGATATATAAACATATAACCTTATATTATTATCTTATATAAATTAGTAAGTAAACAAATAGATAAAAGATAACACCCCAACAGGAAAGGTGGCAAGGAATATGAGCACAGAGTAAAAAGAAAAATAAATACAAGTAGCTTTTTGTTTTATTTTGAGACAGGGTCTCCCTGTGTCAGGCTGGCCTCAAACATGTGACCTTCCTGCCTCAGCCTCCCAGTGCTAGGATTACAGGTGTGTGCAAACATACCTGGTTATGTTACTTTATTTATTTATTCTTTTTTGGTGGCTCTGGGGTTTGAACTCAGGGCTTCATGCTTGCTAGGCAGGTGCTCTAGCACTTGAGCCACACCTCCAGTCCATTGTGCTCTGGTTATTTTGGAGATGGGAGCTTTCAAACTATTTGCCCAAGCTGGCCTTGGACCCTGATCCTCCCAATCTCAGCCCCCCAAGTAGCTAGGATTTCAGTCGTGAGCCACTGGCGCCAGCCTGATTATGTTACTTTTAATATAGTAAATTGTATGCAATCTCCCTGGATAAAGAACTGTAAACTGACACTCTACAACTCTATTATTTTAGGAATGAATTTTTCACCTATTGCAGTGACCAAAATACCACCAGTTCTGCGGGTATACTCGTGGGTTAAGATGTGGAGAAAGGGGCACACTCTCAGCCAGCCCCTGCCCAGCCCCTCTGGGGAGTCAGAGACAGCTCACAAAGGAGCACGTCTTCCCTTCCAAATTCTTTTTATTTATTTGTTTATTTTTGCAATACTGGGGCTTGAACTCAGGGCCTTCACCTTGAGCCACTCCACCAGCCCAATTTTTTGTGATAGGGTTTTTCCGAGATAGGGTTTTTCCGAGATAGGGTTTTTCCGAGATAGGGTCTCGAGAACTATTTGCCCAGGCTGGCTTCGAACTTCGATCCCCTGAATTGCTAGGATTACAGGGTGTTAGCCACCGGGGCCCAGTCCCCTCCCAGGTCTACTGCAGGTCACCTGCACAGGTGTAACACGGGGTCCAGGTGGAAGATCATTTGCTCCAGAACGACTTGGAATACTAAAGACTGGGTCCAACCACCATGTCCACCAACAGGTTGGATAATGAGTGGTCATCCTGGTGCCTGTGACTCACGCTTTAATCCAACCTACTTGGGAAGCTGAGATTGGAAGGATCTCGGTTCAAAGCCAGACTGGGCAAACAGTTCATGAGAACACCGCCCCCCATCTCCAAAGTAACCAGAGCAAAATGGAATGGGGTGTGGCTCAAGTGGTAGAGCACCCACTTTGCAAGCATGAAGCCCTGAGTTCAAAGCCCAGTCCCACAAAAATAACAACAATGATAAATGCACAGTAGGTAGGAGGCAGTTCTGAGTGAGGCCGGGTCAAACCAGAAACATACACGGTTAGCAAAACACAACACAACTAACCACACAAAATCATGATGCCAGGCCAGCAAAACAAGTCTTAGTAAGTTCCAAAAGATTGAAATCCCACAGTACATGTTCTTTGACCACAGTGAATTAGAGTAGAGATCAATAATACAAACTTAGCTAGAAAAAAAAAAATCCCAAATTCTTAAAATGAAGCAGTGAGCAATGTCACTCAGAGGCATAACACTTTCTTAGATGTACAAAGCGCTGGGTTCCACCTCCAAATCACACACACACACACAAGGAAGTGAAGCTACATATTTATAAAACCCCATGGGTCAAAAATGAAGTCACAAGGAAAATTTAAAAATATCTTGAGCTGGGTATAGTGGATCACGCCTATAATCCCAGCTACTTTGGAGGAGAAGACTGGGAGGATTGTGGTTTGAGACCAGCCTGGGCAAAAAGTTCACAAGACCCCATTACAACAAATGGCTGAGCACGGTGGCATGTACCTGTTGCCCCAGCCTGGGCACAAAGCAAGACCTCAGCCCAAAAAAACAATGCAAAAAAGGCTGGCAGAGTGGCTCAAGTGGTAGAGCACCTGTCTAGTAAGCACAAGGACCTGAGTTCAAACTCTAGTACCATCAAAAAAAATTTTTTAACTGAAGGATAATAAAAACATCCATATTACAATTTGTGGGATCCAACTGAAGCAGTGATTTGAGGGAAGTTTATAGTTTTCAATGACTATAAAGAGATATATCTTCGATGTATATGTACTTGACAGCACTGGGGTTTGAACTCAGGGCTTCATGCTTGCCCTGCATGCTTTGTACAGCTTGAGCCGTGCCTCTAGCCCCTCATTGAATATTTTCCTTGAAAAGAAAGACTTAAAATCAGTTACCTAAGTTTTCACCCTAAGAAGCTTAAAAGGGCTGGCAGAGTGGCTCAAGTAGTAGAGCACCTGCCTAGCAGGCGTGAGGCCCTGAGTTCAAATCCCAGAGCCGCCAAAACAAAAAGGAAAAAAAAAAAAAAAGGAAAGGAACACACGCTGATGGTGTAGCTCAGTGGCAGAGCATTTGCCTGCTAGGCAAGCGCTAGATCCTGGGTTTGATCCTTGGCATTGAAAAAAAAAACAACAACAAAAACAAACACCACAGTCAAGTAAAACCTGAAGAAAAGGGAAGGAAATTAAGTGCAAAAATGCACAACAAAAACCCAACGACGGTTCTGAAAAGACGAATAAAATGGATAACTCTCTAGCAGGGTGATTAAGAAAAATGCTAGTGAAAGCACGAGTGCTCAAAGAGGAGTGGAAAGAGCAGACGGGCACGAAAGTGACTTCATAGCCAAAAACCATCCCACGCGGGAGCCCCTGTACTCAAAGGCCTCGGTGGTCAGTCCTGAGAAACAGTTAAGAAAGAAACAGAAAGTCTCACAAACTCTTCCTGCAAACGAAGGAGGAAGAAACAGCTCCCTAAAAGTTTGTAAGTTCAACACAACCCTGACACACAACCATGCCAAGGAGGTTATATGAGAAATTACAGATCAATAACTCCCCTAGCCATCAATGCAAAAAGTCAGCAAAAATCCAGCAACTTAGCCCCTGAACAAATGAATAAATGTTTACACCAGAAATGCAAGAATGGTTCAATATTCAAAACTCAGTCAGAGTTGGGCATGGTGGTACATATCTGTAATCCCAGCTACTCAGAAGGTGGAGGCACGAGGACTGCCAGGCTTAACAAAGTTAGAGACAAAAACAGAAGCCGGGTGCTGGTGGCTCAAGCCTGTAATCCTAGCTACTTGGGAGGCTGAGATCCAGAGGATCACAATTCGAGGCTAACCTAGGCAAATAGTTTACAAGACCCTCATCTCCAAAATAACCAGAGCAAATGGTCTGGAGGTGTGGCTCAAGTGGTACAGCATCTGTTTTGCAGGTGTGAAGCCCTGAGTTCAAACCTCAGTCCTACCAAACAAAACAAAACAATAAAAAAAACCCCAAAGACCAAACATGCACTGGTCAAAATTCTGAATGCTTTCTTCTAAGTTAGTTTGGACCTAAGGCATGGACATCCATTCTCTTTATTCAGCTTTATACTAGTCATTGTAACCAGGGCAACAAGGCAAGAAAATAAGTAAATGATATAAAAGAAGAATGGTCATTATTTTCAAACAATATGGTTGTTTTTGTAGAAAATTCAGTCTAGCCAGGCTAGACTGAATACTGAGTAGCCAGCTACTCAGGAAGCAGAGATCAGGAGGATTGTGGTTTGAAGTTAGCCCAGGAAAATAGTTCTTGAGATCAAAAAAGGGCTGGTGGAGTGGCTCAAGGTGTAGGCCCTGAGTTCAAATCCCAGTACTGGAAAAAAAAAATCTAAACACCAGAACCAGTACCCCAATTACTAAACAGCAGAACCAGTACCCCAATTACTAAACAGCAGAACCAGTACCCCAATTACTAAACAGCAGAACCAGTACCCCAATTACTAAACAGCAGAACCAGTACCCCAATTACTAAACAGCAGAACCAGTACCCCAATTACTAAACAGCAGAACCAGTACCCCAATTACTAAACAGCAGAACCAGTACCCCAATTACTAAACAGCAGAACCAGTACCCCAATTACTAAAGAGGCAAATGACCTGACAGACAGTTCTCAGAAGAAACACAAATGGCTAACAAGCGCGTGACACAGTGTTCAACCTCCTTAACCACAAAGGAAATGCAAGTAAAACTACACTGAGACTCCATCTCGCCCCAGTCAGAGTGGCCATCTCCAGAAAACAAGCAATAGGAAATGCTGGCGAGGATGCAGGGAAAAGGAGCCCCACACACGGAGGGTGAGTGTAACTGGTGCAACCGCCATGGACATCAGCACGGAGATTCCTCAGGGCACTAAAAAGAGACCAGCCTTGGGCATAGACCAAAGGAGGGTCAATCAACATACCAGAGAGATACCTGCATGCCCGTGTGTATTGCAGCTGTCCTCGCAACAGCCAGACTGTGGAGACAGTGGCTATGACTGACAACTGATGAATGGAAACAGGAAATGTCATATAAATATACACACGTACATACATATACATGTGTGTGTATCACAGAATACTACTCGGCCATGAAGAAGAATAAAATTATGTTGTTTGCAGAAAACGGATGGAACTGGAGGTCACGCTACTGAGTGAGAGAAGCCAAGCTCAGAAGGCCAAGTGTCACATGTTCTCGCTCACTGGGGAGCCGACACCTAAGATGAAGGTGGTGACGATATGGTCATGAATGTACATGTGAAGACCCAGCAATGAAACCCACCCAGCGCCGTCTGGAAGAGTGGGGAGGAGGGTGAACTTACGCAAGGCGCACTGCATGCATGTGTGGAGTTATCCCGGGGAGTCCCCTTGCATCACTGCTGCATGATACTTCAAAAATAGTTTTTTTCAAAAACTTAGAAAAAGAAGAAAAATAACTAAAGCAAAATGGGCTGAGTGCCTGCCCAGCAAACGTGAGGTCCTTGGTTCAAACCCCAGTGCTGCCAGAAAAAAACCCAGTGTCTATGCAAATCACTACAACAGATGACTGGTCTCATGACACTGGGTCACCTTAAAAAAGTCTAGTGTTTTTCTCCATGCTGGCAGCAGACAATTTGAAGATGCAATGTAAAAAAAAATAATCATTTGTAACATCATATAAAAATCAAACACTTAGGGAGTAATTTAAGAAAATATATGTAAGATGTCTACAATAAAAACCACAGAGTGTTGTAATTGAAGAACAACGAGTGGAAAGATGCCATGTTCACAGAGTGAGGATACAACGCTGTTACAACGTCAGTTCTCCCTGAACTGACTCATTGATCTGACCAATGCCAACTGAATTCGAGTAGCATTTTGGGGACATAGAAATGGACAAGTTGATTCTAAAATTCTGTTTTATTTTGTTTGGCAATACTGGGATTTGAACTCAGGGCCTTGAGCTTGCTAGGCAGATACTCTATCACTTGAGCCACTCAACTAAAATTTACATGTAAGTCCAAAGAACTTAGAATAGCTAAGAAAATCCTCACTAGGCATGGCTACACCTGGAGAGGCTGAGGCAGGAGGACAGCTGGAGTGTAGGAGTCTAAGACCAGCTTGGGCAATAGAGACCTCATGAAAGAAACGGGGAAAAAAGGAATGATGGTAGGAAGGGAGGAAGGAGAGAGGGAGGGAGGAAGGGAAAGAGAGAGGGAGAGAGAGAGAAGAAGAAAGAGAGGGAGGGAAGAAAAGGAAGGAAGGAAGGAAAGGAAGGAAAAAAAGGGAGGAAAGAAGGGAAGGGAAGGGGAGGAAGGAGGGAAGGAAGGGAAAAGACTGATCAGCACTGTGAGAGATTGGATTGGGATAGCTGTGACCACAGAGGGGCCCTGAAGCAGCCTGAGGTGTTGAAGGTGGTGATGGAGTTGCTCTGTGTCCTAGTTGTGATGGAAACAGAGCTGTACCTCCCCATTGATTTCATTGTATGAAAAGCTAGAAAAAGTCAAAACAAAAACAGTTTTGGAGCAGGGAGCCGGTGACTCACACCTGGAATCCTCAGCTATCCAGGAGGCAGAAGTCAGGAGGATCCCAGGTTTAAAGCCAACCTGGGGAAAACAGACCCTATCTCAAAAATACCCAACACAGAAAAGGGCTGGTGGAATGCCTCAAGTGGTAGGGTGCCTGCCTAGCAAGTGTGAGGCTAGTTCAAACTCCAGTAACCGACATTAAAAAAAAAAAAAAAAAAAAGCTTTGGTGCCCCACCCCCCATGGTCACTCACCCTCTCTCTGAGCCTGTTTCTTCATTTGCAAAAGGCAGAAAAAATCTACTCCCCCCACCCTTGCTGGCCTGTGCCCAGGCAGGAAAGGTCCCCACAACAGCTAGGCTGAGCCAGGCCACTGTGGAGCAAAGTCCAGGAGCCAGGCTGCTAGGCCCCAGGTGGTTGTTCACCAAGGAGGGTAAAGTCCCAGTTCTGAGAAGGTGGTCCGGGAACGAAGGGGCCAAGGTTGAGCCATCTGTCACTCCATGCCCTGGACGCTGAGCTGGCAGTAGTCACCACGTAACGGACCAACCAGCTCAGGTAGGTGCGGAGGGCCCTAGTCACTCCCACACGGCTGGGGCTTTCTGATGGATCTGTGGACTCATTCTACAGATGAGGGAACGCTGTTTGGAGGACAGCATCTTGTCTTACCTCAGCCTGCAAGAGGTGCAGACACAGCAAGAGAGGGCCAGTGGCATGGTGGGCCCACAGTCAGGGTTGGTGGCGCAGGGGCCCCTCCTGACCCCCTGCCTCCCTGTCATTCCTCACCCATCATCAGCCAGCTCCCAGGCACCGGAAGGGCCTTTAGAAACATATTTCCTGAGTTCTAAGTGTGAATTAAAACAGGCAGCCCTCCCCAGCTGGCAGCTGGTCAAAGGGTGCCAGTTACTAGTCTGGACTCAGCGTTAGCCATCAAGTTCCCCGCAGCATTCAATAAAGGGTGTCTTTGTTCCAGCTTCTTCCTCCCAATCCAGTTCCTTGTTTTGAGGCCAGGATGACACCTTCCTTCCCACGACTTCTGGCCTCTTCCCATGCAGGGCTGCACAGCGCGAGGGGCATTGCTTCCAGCACCCTGGATGGTGCTAGCCAGGGGTACCAACTTCCCCATGGGCCCTACTGTGAGCTTCCTCTGACTGGAATGGACTGCCTTACCACTGTGGCTGAACCCAGGACCAGCATGGGGCGGACCCTGGCTCTGGCCTCCCCACTTCTCCCTGGGCCTCAGTTTCCCCACCTATCCCTGGAGCACTTAGGACATGAGTGCTACCTAGGAGAGAGGTCTCACCTGGACGTGGTACTGTGAGGTCTCGTGCATGATTACATTGGAGTTGGAGTACTTCTTCCTCTGTTCTGGAAGGACAGATGGCTGTCACTCACCCCAGGGGGTGGGACCCATAGCCCCCCCCCCAGTCCAAGTGGGACAGAACCCCCGAGGGGCTCACAAGGGAAAGTGGAGTCAAGGTTAGGAGTGTTGTTCTATGAGCTCCTCAGCCACCAGAAGAACTCAGGGGTTTGAAGACAGAGTGGGACCTTCCTTGGTCAATGAGAATCCACAGGGAGCCCTCTGCTTTGGCCCCAGGGCAGCACCCAAGCCCTACTTAGAGGAAGTCTGTGACTCAGATCTGTCCTGGGATGGGCAGGAGGCTCAGCCTCACCCCATGGAGGTTTCTCACACCTGTTCCCACCTTCCCAGGGGAGGGGTCTGGACCAGAGCTTCCACCACCCTAAAAGGCATCACCAGAATGTCCCCCCTGCACAGGGAGGCACCAAGAAGGGTGTGATGGAGCCAGGGAGGGCCATGGTTGAGGGAGGAGTGGCCAGCCTCCCTCCCTCGCCCAGCAGACACTTGGCAGCTGGGTCCTGCCTGACCCCCTTGATCAGGTTGCAGAGCCGCACAGTGGAATCAATATTGATGCTCTTTAAATTATTTGTAAAGGCCTCTCCCCTTACGGCATGGGGAGGGGGAGAGCGCTTAGTGGCCAGAGCTTTGGGAACAGGTCGTGGAACCTCTCTGTGGGTTAGGGTCCAGAGGCCTCCTCCAGTCACCCAGGGTTGGCCAAGTTAGAGTTCTTCTGGGTCTGTGGCCAGGGCTCAGCCTTGGAGCAGGCAGGGGCAAATCTGGCAGGGTCACAATCCCCCTGCGTCCCCCTAGATCTACCGGGTCCTCAAGCCTCACTCACCAAACAGGTCTTTGGCGCTCATCTTGACCACACCAGCCACACTGTCAGACCGGCTCAGGCTGCCGCTGTGGGGGAGGGACAGTGAGAGCAGGGCTCATGCCAAACCTTTCCCTGGGGACTGCACCAGGGCACTGAGGGGTGAGTGGGGCTGGGGACTTACTTGGCAGCACCTGGGCAGCAGCTCACGGCCCCTGACTGGCTCATGGTGTCCTGAGTGGTGACCAGTGTCAGGGAAGGCAGACCTCAATGTGGCTGGAGCCTGGGGCCCAGTGCCTGGCCCACACCTAAGGACAGAGATGACGAGCTGGCACTTCCTCCTGGCCAGCTACTCCCAGGGATGGGCCAGTGTTCTTGTTACTCCCGGGGTTGAGCCTGGGTCTTTTCCTCCCCTACCCCAAGTCCAGGGCTGCAGCTCTCAGTGGCCTGCCCAGGTTCCCCAGGGGATCCTCAGGGAGCACAGGCCCCCTGACCCTTGCCCCAGCTGGTAGCTACTGAGGCCCCATCTCAGCCCAGACCTTTAGTGAGATCCACAGGGATCCCCTCAGAGGTTGCCTAGGAGGCTGAAGAGGAGCCTGGGAGGGGAGCACTTTTTAAGCAGAGAGGACAGCTCATTCAAAGGCCTTGAGGCAAGTGGGAGCTGGCAGGGGAGAATGGCAGGAAAGGGAGAAGAGGAGTCCAGGCAGGGGCAAAAAGTGCAATCCCTCAGCCCACCACTCCTACCTCACAGGAGGCCTATACGCCAAGGGACCCCTGCATATATGTGTGGATATGCAGCCCACACTGGCCAGGTCCCTCCAGTCCCTAGCACATCCCTTGGCTCCCTCTTGGTCCTGGGAGACCTAGTTAGGGAAGAGCCGTACAGCAGGTAATCCTGGGGTCCTGGGTACCCAGAAGGTAATCTGAGGGGTATGGGGTCCCTTCATTCTGGGGTGGCCCAAGGAAGAACCCTTAGTAACAGGGGCTGCTGTCCCAAGGGAAGTTCTGGAAAGGGTGTTTGTGGTGGTGTTGGGGGGGTGGTGTGGTCATCCAGTTGGCCACTGTCCTGGGCAAGGCCTTGCCAGGAGCAGAATACCCATCCTGAACTCCCCCCAACTGCATTTTGGGGAAACTGAGGCCTAGTTGCTGAAACAACCAGGTGTCTGATCTGGGCTGAACCCGGGGGGATTACTAGAGTACAGTGGTCTAGGCCAGCTTGACATCACATGAGGGCATTCAGTGCCCTCCAGTGTCCTCCAGTGTCAGGCTGTCCTCATGTCCCTGGAGGGGAAGGTGGACGGCGCCTCTGGCTGTCCTTCTGAGGCTCTGCAGCCAGTTCCCTGGGTTCTGGATCCACATACCATCTACCTTCTGGCAGATATCACCAGTGTGTCAGTATTTTTTTTTTTTTCGCCAAGGTGGGGCCACCAACAAGGGGTGCTGATATGGAAGGCTGGTTCTGGTGGGGCGGTCCTGGAACACCCCAGCACTTTCTGGTTTGACCCCCCTGAAGGAGGCTTCCAGGAGGTGTGGGGGTTTGCAGAGGTGGTTGCTTCAGAAGGTGGGGGGTCTGGGAGCCTTTGGCCACCACTTTGGCCTGACTCCTGGTGCACCTTCCTGCATGTCACCTAGATCCTGGCTTGCCAGAGGGGGCCTGGCCAGATTCCTCTGTCCACCTGTCCATGGAGAATGTCCGGAATGCTCATGACCTCAGTGGGTGAGTCTGAGTGTTTGCTTAATAAGATTCCTGGCAGACTCAACCAAGGGCTTGGGGCACGTGGGTCCAGGTACACACCTGGGCAAAACAAACTGCCACAGACCCAGGCCTGCAGGCACACAGACTCACACAGGCTGGGACACGCAATGCTCCCCTTAAAGTCTAGCCTGAGACCTTAAGCCCAGGTTGGAGGGCTTTGGGGCCATCTCCAGGTCTGCAGGACACTCACCCCCAGGGGCCTTTATTAGTTGAGGGGGGAGCAGGGAAGCTGTGTAACCCAATAAGGGTAGATAGTGATGTGGCTGCCTAGCCCTGGGGACCCTGGGGGGCTCAGGCTGCACTTTGGTCTTACTATAGCCATCTTCTGGGTGTAAAGGGAGGGTGTAGCAGGCCCTGTACAGGGTGGGTGGGAAGTGGAGGAGGAGGAGGCCCCAGCAGGGCATAAAGGGCAGAAGAACTGCTCCAAGTTCAAATTCCAGCTCCACACACTAAGTGACCTTGGAGAGGGGTCAGCTTAGTCACCGGGGTTACTGCCTGCCCTGTGGAAGCTGGGTGGGGCCCTGTATCAGGGGAGTCCCTCAGGCTCTGGCTGTGACCTGCTCTGGGAATAGTAGTTTGGGGAGAGCCCTGTCAGGTGGGAGGGAGGAGACAGGTAGGAGCCTGGGAAGTTTTGGGTGGGGAGGGGGGGATGGGTGGGAGGGCCAAGATGACGGGGAGCACTGGGTCAACAGGGTCTGGGTAATAGGCAGGTACAGGAGCTGGGTGGGACCACATTGGGGCTGGGCCCTGCCTCCCTGCAGAGCAGAGAAGGACTGCACTCAGACCTGGTCTGTGGGAGTGCCTGCCCCTTCCTGCCACCAGGGACACCCCCATACAGACAGACAGCTCAGGCCAGCCTGACCAGGAACCAAGAGATGGCCAAGGCTGGATACCCACAGTCCCCTGCCAGCCCACCCTCCTACATTGGGCCCCACCCCCAGCCTTCCCTCTCCCTGAAACTCCACACCCCAACTCTGACCTGGAGCCTGACTTAGCATGATGCCTTCCTGGGCCAGGATTTTCTCTGGACTCAGAAACCCCGGAAGGGTCAACGTCCAGGGTCATGTGTCCACCCCAGGGTCAGGTCCTGGAGCAGACTCAACCTGCTCACAGGAGGGAAGCCTCTCTCTTGTCACCTCCCTTGTCTGAATCAGGGACTCCCCCCTTACCAAGCCCCAGGGCTGGGAGGGGGCCGGGATGGGGGCAGGTGAGTCACACACTGCGGGCTTAAAAATATCCCCGCACACCGGCCGCCGCCCGGGACGACGGGGCAGGTCGGGCCTCAACGGGCCGATTCTTGGGCCAAAAGCCCAAAAGAACCGCTCCCCAACCTTCTGCGTCCCGCCGTCCGTCCCCGCTGCTCCTGAACCCGGAGCTCAGCTGCCCCTGCGCCCTGCTGTCCCCAGGCTCCCAAACCCCGCGCCCGGCACCAAAGCCTGGCGCCCCATGGTCACCCGGGGAAACTGAGGCCCGGGTGGCCAGCTCCTCGGTGGAAGTGCTCACCTGCTGCCCCGCCGCCTGTGCCCGCGCTGCGGTTCGTCTACTGATCGGTGCGTCGTCCGCCCGTCTGTCCGCGCCTCGGCCGCGGCGCTTGGTCTCCGCGGGCGGGAGGGAGCTCGGCGGAGCCGGGCGGGCCGGGGCGGGGCCCGGAGAGGAGGAACCTGAGCGACAGGTTACCGAGTCACCGAGCAGCGGGGCAGGCCCTGGACGCCCCTCCTTCGCCAGCTCCGCCTCCGCCCGCCGCCGTCCGTCCTCCCTACGGTCCCCATCCCACCTGGGGCCCCTGCACAGTCGCCCCTGGAGCGCAGGGCGCGGCACCAGGTGTGCGGCAGGGCAGGCCAAGCAGCGTGCAGCAGGGGCCCAGGCCGGCCTGCTGGGGAAACCCTAGATAGGGCCTCAGAGGGCTGAAGCCCTGCGAAGGTCAGTGTCTGTCTCCTACCAGGTGTCCCCCTGCCTCAGGTTTGGGCCAGTCTAGTGCTCCCGACACTGGAGTTCAGTCTGTGAGTGGGAGTCAGAAGCAGGACCCAGCTAGAGACTCACAGTCACACCCTGAAGTGGATAGGTGGGAGTCACGGCTCTCCCCTTCACATTCCAGGAACTCCTAAAGCCCAGCCTGAGTGCCATCTGAGGGATGGGGTGTCTGGAGAGGGTGGGGACACTTGTGACAGAGGTCCTACGTACTTCTGCCAGTCCTCCTGTTGACTCCCAGGCCACCTTGCCCACTCAGCTGCTCCAGCTCCTCAGGGCAGGGCCAGAGCACACTTAGAGCAGCTAATAGTCACTGGTCATGGAGGAGGAAGTAAAGGGGGAGAGGGCAGGCCAGCCTGTGTCTGGCAAATACAGGGACCCAAAGACCCTGACTATTGTTCCTGGGGTGGGGAAGCGGAAATGGGTGCTGCCAGGAAGGCAGGGCCCTGGTGTGTTTGCCTTGGGCGGGCACATGGCCCTTCCTGGGGAGGCGGGTGCTTTGCCCTGGAGGGCCAGCCTCAGTGTCCTCTGGCCTGCACTGACACCACAAGGTGAGCTGGGCATAGGGATGACAGGAATTGGCCTTGGTCCTGCAGGTCCAGTTCCTGCTTGAGCCCAGGAAAGGCCTAGTTTCCTGGTTCACAGCCTTTGTAGCTGATCTCGAAGAACCTGCCCCATCCTGCTCCACGCGTGACTTTGCCCTGGCCCAGCACACAGGGGTCAAGCACTCAGCTGTGCACAGGGAGGGGCAGGCGCCCTTTGGGCAGAGCTAGAGATAGCAGAAAGCAGGAAATGTGCACTGCAGAGAACAGCTGAGATGGGTCTCTCCACTCCCAAAGCCAGTGCTCATCATAGCACAGGCTGGTCCTATGTGGCTCATGTCTGCTCTGGGCCACCTGCACCCATGGTGTCCCCTGTGGAACAGGTGACCACTGACTGCATCTGTGTGACCAGAGTAGGGGTGTCAAGGGCTTGAAGCCCAGAACTATTAACAGGCTTTTTGGTCAACAGAGGCCCTAGTGTGGTCTGTAGGGAGAGCCTGTGACAGCAGGCGTTCCCAGCCCATTGGGTGCACCCAGGCTACAGGGAGGTAAGGGAGGTGGCCCCAGGTTCTTTGAGGCTCTGGCCCTTCCTATGCCTGCCTGAGGAGCTCTCCAGGCAGCCCTGACTTTCTCCATGGCCTGTGGGGGCTGGAGGTCAAAGGAAGCTGGCTCAGGAGCCCAAGTTGCACCCTTGCCAGCCTCCACAACCTAGGGAGGTTCTGGCCTGGAGTTGGGCTGGAGGGCAGCTGGGCCATAGGGTGAGTGCCAGGATTGGGTCATGACAGCAGCAAGTAGGGTGGGCTCTTTTGTTCCAAACTCTGGGGGAAGTTGGTGACTGCAATTAAGGGAAACTCATGCTAGTATAAATATTTATTTAAAAAAAAACAGGTATTTGAACACGTTATTCCAAATACAGAAAACACGTAACGAAGGAAAGCTATAGTTAAAATCTGCTTAGCTACAGCCAGGCATGATGGTACATGCCTATAATCTCAGCTACTTGGGAGGTAGAGGCAGGAGGAAGATTGAAAGTTCAAGGCTAGCCTGGAAAAGTTTGAAAGACCCTGTCTCAAAAACAAAACAGAAACAAAAAAGAGCTAGGGGCACAGCTCAAGTCAAGTGCTCTGGTACTACAATCTCCAGTACTACAAATAATAAAACAAAACTACAACAAAAACCTGCTTACTTTTTTTTCTTTTTGGTGGGATTGGGGTTTAAATTGCTTGAGTCATACCTCCAGTTCATTTTGCTCTGGTTATTTCAGAGACAGGGTCTCATAAACTATTTGCCTGCTCTGGCCTCAGACTGAGATCCTCCCAATCTCAGCCTCCCAAGTAGCTAGGATCACAGGCCTAAGTCATCAACCCCTGGCAAACCTGCTTACTTTTTAAGGAGCACTGACATTTAGTCTGTGAATAGAAAAAAAAGTCAGAGATTTGTTGGATTTCATTCAGCGTTGAGTGCAAATGTTGCTGAAGTTTAGTAGAGTAAGGTTCAGACTTCAGACTGGAAGCTTTTCTCCCATTCTTGGACTTCTTCCCCTGGGCCTCCTAGAAACTCCCAAGGGGAAAGGGTGAAAAACACCCCACACATGGATGACTGGTTCATTTGTTTTTGAAGCTAGTGTGTGCCGTTATGTCCAGAAGCTAGACTGGAGGCCTGACATGGGGCCTGGTAGCGGAGTACATACAGCAGGCTCAGAACATGAATCCGGGACCAGTCCGGGAACCACGAGATGCCAAGAACTGCTGTGTGAGAACACACATGGTGACTGATGGGCAAGCAAGCTCCCCCTGGGGGGATGACTCTGGAAACCGCCAGGATGCTGCTTCTCTGTGGTGGTGACAGGGTGAAGTCACTGGACGGCTCTGCTGGCAGCCTTCTTTCTGAAGGTCTTTGCCTCCTGCTGGGCCCGGTGGTCAGTTGTGGCCCTGTTGCTGAAGTCAGGCTCCCAGCCACAAGGCCCCCAGGGGACATCCCTGGGATTCACCAGATTCTCCCAGTGGCCATTCTCAATACCCAGGCCCCCAACAGTTTGTCCTGCTCTGGTTCCTGCCTCTACCCCGACAAAAAAGATTTGTAAACATCCAAAATCACCCCCAGCCGATCAGTAGGAAGGGTGCTGTCCCTGTGGGCCAGACAGGCTGCCGATGAAGGGGCTCAGGCTGAACTGGCATGTCTACCCGACCAACGCAGCAATCACTACTACCTGCAGGGCAGCCTCCAGACCGTGGAGTGCCAGGAGAGTAGCACTAAGCACTGAGTCCACCCACAGCACCAGGGTCTGCCAGAGCATGAAGTGGACAGAGAGGAGGCTGCTGCCTGCTGTGAGGGCCAAGCTGGTGGCCAGCAGCACCTCGGCCTCTGTCAGGTTGCCCTTTGTGCCTGCAGAGCAGAGCAAACAGGAGAGTAAGGGAGGTGCAGGATATTCAGGACCCCTGCCCAGCTTGGACGCTGTATCAACCATGGCCACCCCAGGACCAAGAGTGCCTACAGCTAACCTCAGTATCCAGCCAGCTATGTGAGAAAGTTTGGGTCCTAATTTCCGGGCATCTGCCACCTTCTCCTAACTCCAAGTGGGATCAAAGGGATTTTGTTTAAAACTCCCAAAAATGTTTTGCTCTGGGCTAAGCAGGCTGGTTCTGGAAAATTCCATGGATACTTATGAAAAGCAAAGCTGTGATCCCAGCTACGCAGGAGGCAGAGATGAGGAGGATCTTGGTTCAAAGCCAGCCTGGGAAAATAGTTCACGAGACCCTATCTCAAAAAAAATCTATCACAAAAATAGGGAGTGGCTCAAGGTGAAGGCCCTGAGTTCAAGCCCCAGTATCACAAAACAAAACGAAAAACTGTACATTTTATAAACAAATGGGTCGGTTGTGGAAAATGGATTTGAAGCTGCTTCCAGCTAACTCCAGCTACCTGGGGTGCCCTGAGGGCCACAGAGTGCCAAGTGTTTGGGGCGGGGGTGGGGGGAGTCCGTCTATGGTGACAGCCCCCTCACCTGCAAGGCGAGGTTCACAGGCCCATGAGGCTGGCCAGGCTTGAGTCTTGCAGTTGGAACCTCTGCACTCTCTGGGCAGCACCACCTCATGGACAAACTGGAAGTTCCAGCACTGCCCAGGCAGCAGGCCCCCAGGCTCTAGCCCCATCTAGCATGGATGGTGAGGAAACTTGGTTCACCCTCCATGGGGTCCTGGGTCTGACACATGAGGAAGGGTGGAGGTCAGCTCCCCTGTACACCTCAATTTCCTCACTGTACACCATGTATCATGGTGATGAGGTCAGAACCTGGCAGGTGCAGTGTGCCTGGTTGTGTCAGCTCCTATTCCTAGAGGCAGGGCAGTGTGCACAATATGATTCTGTCTGAAAAATAGACACATACTCATGACCAATAGTGGAGGTGGGGCAGAGGCGGCATCTGGAGCGTGGGCCTGAGGTCGTCACAACAGTCCGCTCTGGGGAGGGGATTTCCATGTTTTACTTCTGTGGCTGAGTCTTAGAAGAGAACATGCCCTCAAATGAACCGTCTGACTCAAGAAAAAGGGAGTTGGTGGAGAGACACCACTAGATAGGTGGTGGCAGACTTGGCTCAGGTTAGACGGGGAGGCTAGGCCCACCCACTGCCCTGCAGGGACCTGACAAGATGCTCCTGACCTACTCCCTGGAGACAGCTGAGGCCCCAGGGAGAAAGGTGGGTCAGCTTTAGCTCTGACAGTCAGGTGGGGTTGTTGATCCCAGTGCTGTTGGGGACTATGCTTCCAGATGCAAGGATGCCACCAGTGTCACCAGACCCTGGGACAAAGCTTCTGAATGATGGTTAATACTTAATGACACAGTAAGGTGATGCTGCAAAACACCTGGTGGAGCAGTCTGAATGAAACATCTCCAAGAACCATACTATAAAGTGATCAATATTTAAAGGCTCACACTCACATTTAAAATAGAACCTCTGTGACCACAAGCCAACTCACCCAGGTATAGCCGAGCTGCTTCCAGAATCCCCATGAAAAGTAACAGAGACAGATCGAGAACCAGGCAGTTCTGAGGATAGCTGAAAACCTGACCTGGGAACAGCACAGTGGGAACTCAGGTCACTTTGCGCGGTGGCACTGGCTCCTTCAGCCTACTTTACAATCATGACTTACTCTTGTACAGGATCATCAGAAGTGTGACTAGGAAATACAGGGCGTAGTATAGCCCGCTGAGATGGAGCAGCATTTGAAGAGGGACCGATGAGAGCTGGTAAGTGGTCAAGGATCCTCAAGTCCAGTAGACCAGGTACACCTGCCCAGGTGGCCAAGCCAGGGGACCGGCTCTGCCGCATGTCCCACAAATGAGCAGGTCTGGTTTAGGTACCCACAGGTGGCCAGAGACCCAGTAATTGACTCCCTGTCTATATGGGGCTTCTATTGCTCTATGGGATCCTGGTGTGGTCACCTGAGGGCAATGCTAGACCCCCTCCCACCCTAGCAGAGCGAGGTCTGAGCACCAAACTCCTCACTAGCTATCGGCAGGATGATGGGAGCAACTCACACCAGCACTACTGGGTGTTGTCACCCTGGCTCTAGTCCCAAGTTAGAAAGAGAGGACCTTTTTCAATTTTCTCATGAGAAAATACATTTTCTTTCTGGGGACAGGATATTTAAATATCCACTAGCAATTTCCTGAGTTCTGTACACTTTATACTTGTTTATGCAAAGGTAAGTAAAAAGGCCACCCAAAGTGAGGAATTTTCATCTTTCTGCCACAGTGGCCTGGCTGGTGGGAGGTGAGTGGCTGTCCCCTGGGACGCCAGGTCTTTGAGGGGATACAGCTAAGCTGGTGGGTGACAGAGCCAGCATGCTAGGGGACATCCCTCCCTCTTCAAAGTTCCTACTCAGAGTTTAAGGAGAATTGCAGTAGGGGCATGAAAAGAACAAAAGGGCAGCAATCCAGTCGTGGGGACCTGGCCACCTGGCTCAGAGAGCAGGATGCAGTAACAGCAGCAGGATACCAACTTGCAGGAGCCTCTCCCTAGAAAAGAAAGTCAGTGTGACCATCAACAGCCACATACCGTCCCGGTCAGTTCCCCTCTGACCTCACACTTACAGGAGGAAGCAAATGTGATATTGGGCCTGCAGCTAGTCCTTGTCTCACCTCTACATCCATCCCTTCAAGGAGGATATCATAATCTCTGACTTCCTGCACCCAAGGCTGAGGACAGCCTATACCTGGAGCATAGAAGTGGGGTGCACACTGGAGACCAGACTCAACAGGACAGGTGTGATTTAGGCCTCAGGTAAAGAAACGCTCAAACGAAACCAAACAGTAGCTTTCCCTTCTTGTGTGGTTTCTGTGTATTTGCCACGTGTACATAATCAGATGTAAACCTTTGCTGATTTGGGTTATAAGAAATCATTTTTCATAATTGGTCATAGATATTTTGCTTTTCTTTGGAATTTTATTCATTTCCCCAAAATATCCCTCTGGAAAAAAAAGAATTTCCTAGATCACCACCAAGTCTTGTGGGCTTCTTAGACCTTCTCTGCCCCATGCCCTCATCTTGGGGGACAGTCAGCTCCTGAGGAGCAATGGGGCCTCCTTCCTCGTCTCTGATGCTGAGATTTTGCCTGTGAGGCACCCCCTGATGGAATGTGACCTGGGTCAGACTGCTGTTATGTAGAGGCTCACACCATGTTTCTACATGTGTACGCACAACCAAAAAAATTCAGAATGTGGTCAAAATCTCCCATACAGAGATTATACTTTGGTGGTGGTGGTGGTGGTGATCCAAATAATGTATACACACATAAGTAAATGTGAAAACTATAAAATAAAATTAAAAAAAAAAAAAGAGGTCGGGGTGGGGGCAGGGGGGAGAAATGAACCAAGCCTTGTATGCACATATGAATAATAAAAGAAAAAAATAAATAAAAAAAAAAAAAAAAAAAAAAAGAGGTTGTACTTCTGGGCAGCAGGTAGGGCAATGACTGAACTCGGCTTGCACCTGTCTCCTGTTGTATTTCCTCTTTCATCCCAGGGAGGGCAGGAAAGAAACACCTGCCTTGGTGAGCTTTTTTTTTTTTTTTTTTTTTTTTAGCAGTACTGGTGCTTGAACTCAGGGCCTACACCTTGAGCCACTCCACCAGCCCTTTTTTTGTAAAGGATTTTTCGAGATAGTGTCATGTGGAACTATTTGCCCGGCTGGCTTTGAACCGGGATCCTCCTGATCTCTGCCTCCTGAGTAGCCAGGATTACAGACATAAGCCACCAGTTCCCGGCTCTTGGTGAGCTTTTGTGGGTGATCTGACTTCGTGGTAGACCTCAGACCTTCTGTCCAGAGATGGAGACTCTCGTATGGGTAAGTCATAACCAATAAAGCCAGGACATAAGTAACCATCTCTGTGGCTCCCAGTGGACATGAATGAGGGAACAGGAAGCCAAGTGAGGGTCACTGAGTCATGATCTGTTCTTTTCCAGCTAAACTAGGCTATCCAGAAACCTGTCATTACTTCAGTCGATTTCACATTAATTGGGGTTTTCCTCGCTTTGGATCCTTTTCTTAAAGGTTAGCGTCAGGGTTGGGGTGTAGCTCAGAGATAAAGTGCTTGCCTAGCACCTGTGAGACCCTGGTTCCAACAGCATCACTGAGGAAAAAAACTGTCAGAAACATTTCAAATATATCTACTAATTGCCCATGGTCACAGATTGAAACTCTGGAGCTCAGGGAAACAATACTATAAAAACCCCAAATGATACAGCATTTAAATAATTGCTATAAGATCTGCTGCTCTCTTTCAGAACTACATGGGTTCATTTTGACTGAACACAACCGTGGCTTATGGGACTTAACACTTCACCAATTACTGACTGTAACCACAATGTGGCTACCGACTAGTGTGAGGTAGAAGTTCAAAGTGGAAGTAAAAGAGAACCAATGTTTTTCCTGATGTGAGAAGAGGCTTGTGAAGAGGTCCTGTTGTGGTATAAGCTTATGATAATCTGTGTGTGGATGTGGTGCTGGGGATGGACTCCAGGGCCTTGAGCATGTTAGGCAAGTGCTCTCCACTGAGCTCCATCTTCAGTTCTAAGTTTGTTTGTTTGTTTATTTATCTATCTATTTATTTCTTTATTTATGGTGGTCCTGGAGTTTGAACTCAGGGCCTCACACTTGCTCAGCAGGCACTCCATAACTTGAGCCACTGTGCCAGCCCCTGAATTTAATTTTTTAGCAAATGAAAATATACTAATAAACCTAATTGGCAGAGGACTTCTATAGACAAGGTTTGACTGATTGGAACCTACATATCAAGAGAGCTCCAAGGAAATAGACCACAGGGAGCTGCTTCTTTGTAGGGTGGTCTACTCATGACTGCAGTGTGTCCCTGCAAGGGATTTGGAAACTGTTGGAAACTTTTTTCTTTCAGGGGAGAGGATGGTAGTAGGGTTTGAACTCAGGCTCTTGCATTTGCACCTAGGTGCCCTTGCACCTAGGCAGGTGCTCTACCAGTTAAGCCATGCCGTCAGCCCTTTCTGCCTTAGGGTTTGTTTTTTTTTTTTTTTTTTGGTGGGACTGGGGTTCGAACTCAGGGCTTCACACTTGCTAAGCAGGCACACCTCCAGCCTGGAAACTGGGTTTTTATGTGAATGATACATACTGCAACAAACGGTAATTCCAAGACCACCTTCCCACCCAGGGTTTTCTTTTTATCACAAAAGTGCACACAGAAAAAAGAAGCTAATCCCAATTGTGTGATGGGTACTTTCAAACAGCATGGTGCCCAGAGGGGGTGGGGGCAGGAGGGAGAAATGACCCAAGCCTTGTATGCACATATGAATAATAAAACAATAAAAAAAAAAAAAAAAAACAGCATGGTGCCACACCAGGCCACGTGTGTTGTAAACACATTCTTGAAATTTGTTCCGTTAAGGAAGAGTTGGAAGAATGGAGCCATGGATGGATGCACACAGGTCTGCACTGGCTGTGACCAGCTTCTCATCCAGGCTGATGGCAACACAGGCCCAGGGCCCCTGGAGCCAGCAGTACACAGGCTCCCAGGCCTGGGATCCTGCTACAGAGGGGAGGAGGCCACTGAGGTCTCTGGCTGCTGGGAACGCCAGTGTGACACAGATGTGCCCATGGGATGCCTGTGAGGGTGCTGCGTGTCGGGGGTACGCCGCCATGGGTGTGCCTGGGATGAGCTGAAGGTGTGATTGAGGGTGTGCTCACAGATATGCACGGATGTGCTTGGGGTGTGCCCCAGTGAGCAGCAGGTGTGCCAGGGGTGGGTAAGTCACGGGTGTGCGATGGGCGTGCCCGAGTGTGCCCAGATGTGCTCAGGGTGAGCTACACGTGTGCCATGGGTGCACGGGGTGTGTCACCGCATGCCCCGCCACCAGCGGGACGACGATCGCGCCCCTCCCCCACCAAGACCGGGCCCCCCGCAGCAGAAATCCGGACCGGGGCCGCGACCTCCAGGGCCGGGACGGCGGGATGGCGACCCGCGGGGATACCCGGCCACCTGGCAGGGCCCCGCGTCGCCATAGCGCGACGACACCGACGTGACGCTAGCTCAACCCCACCCGTCTCACCTGGGCGTGCGGACGCCATCTTGCCGCCGAGTCCTCCGCGATCCCGGCAGCCTCTCGGACGCGCCCTCCCGCCATCTTTGCTCCTCCTGCCGTACCCCGGAGTGGGCGTCCGACTGCGGCCGAGGCCCGATTCGCCCGTCCGGCAGCACTCGGGAGCTTTCGGACAGGAGGAGGCGGGAGTTAAGGCTCGGAAGGATTCGGCTCGGGGATATTCGGCGGAGTTCGGCTCGGCCTCGGGCCGGCTCGGCTTCCGCCGCCGGCGGAGGCGGACAAAGTCGGTGGCGCAAGGCTGTGTCTGTGAAGCCAAACTGCGTCCGAAACCGGCGAGTATCTGCTCAGAGCCGGCCAGGTCTATCGACCGGCAACTACAATCTGCTCAGCCTCCTACACAGTGAGGAGGAAACGCTCGGAATTCTCGTGCAGCCTCGGAACCATTCGGACAGACTCGGCTCCTCACTTCGGGCAGTTTCGGCCTTCCTCGGTTCCAGACTCTTGACGTCGGCTCGTCTCGGCTGGCAACCTCGGCTCCACTCGGCTAGCTCGGCGGACGGCCTCGGCTCGGCTCGGCGTGTGACTGACTGCTCTTCCGTCCCTGCTCGGGCGGTGGCTTCGGGCGGCCTCGGCCCGGCTCGGGTAGCCTCTTCGGGCCCCGCTTCGGGCGGCCCCGGACGGTGCCTTCGGGCGGGCTCGGCGGAGTCCGGATGGAGGACTCGGACTCGGCGGCAAAGCAGCTGGGCCTGGCCGAGGCGGCAGCGGTGGCGGCCGCGGCCGCTGTGGCGGCGGCGGCCGCGGCCGCAGCGGGAGGCGAGGCGGAGGAGCCGGTGCTGAGCAGGGACGAGGACTCGGAGGAGGACGCGGACTCGGAGGCAGAGCGCGAGACGCGGCGTGTCACGGCTGTGGCGGTGATGGCGGCCGATCCCGGGCACATGGACATGAGCGCCGAGGCCCTGCCTGGCCCCGACGAGGCCGCCGCTGCCGCCGCCTTCGCAGGCAAGTGCGCCCGCGCCCGCCGGCCTCGCGCCTCACCCGATTCCCGCGCACCTGCCCTGAACACCTGCCCCACGCGACAGGCCGGCACCCACCCCCTTGTGCACCTGCCCCGCACCTGCCCCGCACCTGCCCCGGCCATGCCAAGCTCACGCGCTCAGCACCTGCCTGCACACCTTTCCTGCACACCCGCCCCGCTCCACCAGCCTGGCCTAGCTCTGTATGCATACCTGCCCCGTCGTGGTCGTGGTCGTGCGACCCTACTGGCCTTCCCCGGACTCTTCTGGAACCTTCTCGACACCTGCCTCCTGTCCTGCCTGTCTTCTCCTCCTCCATCCTGGGAGGGGGTGGCATTGGAGGGCGGGGGTGTGTGGCTAGCTTGAATGCCCCGAGTGCCAAAGGCCAGTTCATCTGTGACCTGAGCTCTTGGCAAGGCTGGTGAGCTTCTGCAGACAGTGACACCAGGAGTCAGCCCTGCTTTGCAGTGGCCCAGGAGTTCCCTGGGTAGGTCCCCTTCCAGGTCTGCCTTTTCCTAGATAGAGCTTCCCGCCGTCTGGATTCCCTAATTCTTGTTTTCACTGCTTCTATTTCTTGACACGCAGAACACTCTTATTGTGAGGTTTCAGGTAGCATTTGGAGCCTCCATGCATCACCTCTTTAGGGTGTGCCCCCTCACCCTGTAGAGGTGATGCCACTTGAAGCTGCCACTTGCAGTCACCACATCCCTGCCCATCCTCCCACCTTCCTTAGTGTTCTGTCCTTTTCCCAGTTGGGGTTCCCAGGAGTACTCAGTTGAGCATTCAAACCCTTGCAGCAGCATCGCTTGCTGTTCTTATTGCTGCTTATTGTGTTCTTCCCACTTAGGACTCTGTAGGCTTGGGGAGAGGGCCACTGTGCAGTATGGCCAAGGTCCGCCTGCTGGTGCCATCATCTGTCTGTGGTCTGTTGAGCAATTTGCAGGAGGCCTCCGGGAGCTCTCAGTGCTCTGCTTTCATCCATGGACTCTAGTTTGCCGAGAGGATTTAGAGCCCTGAAGTTTTTGTCCTTTTTGCACACGTGTTTCTGAATGCAGAAAGGAAATGTGATGCTATCCGTCATGCCTGAGTGCTGACTGAGAGGCAAGGATGAATGGGCCGTGCCAGGTGTGGTCTGGTCTGGTTGTCAAGGCAGAAGGTGTGCCAAGTGTGGTCTGGTAGTGGAGGCAGAAGACTGACAGGTGCTGTGGTACAATTTGGTGGTTGCTGGGTCAATGGAGCAGTCAGCAATTTCGAGCACCCCCACTGCTTGCTAGAGACTGTCTTGGGCATTGAACATTCTGGAATGCTGGGGAATAGCTGGGGCCACTGCCGATGCAGAGGCAAGGAGAGCCTTGTGGATGATGCTGGCCAGCAGAAGGCAGGATTCGGAAGTGGGAGCTGTGTGGCCTGTCCGTGCAGACCTCTGAGGAGCCTAGATCCAGGGTGTAAGGATGGGTGTGGCTCGTCATCACACTTTTCAGGGGAAGAGTTGTTGGGGAGGCCTGGACACCTTGGATAGATGTGGGCATGAGGCTGTGGTAACCTGTTGCAGTGGCCTGAGCTGTGGCAGTGGGGGTCCATGTGGGAGGAGGCCAGACTTGAGCCTGCTCTTGGTTGATGGGTGCGTGGGTGTGGGGGAGGAATCCCCGGATCTCTGGGACTTGCAGCTTCTTTGCAGAGGGAAAGAGACTGCCCCGTGGGGTGGATGTTTTTACTGCAGGTAAAAGACTTTATTGGGGAAAGGTGGGTTTCTCCTTTTTCTGGGAGAACCAGATGTCTTAGAGTGGACTAGAAATGTCAATAGCATTTTTCTGAAAGCACCATAGTGGAGTATATTTACCCATGTGGGAACACTTTGAGGCTCCCATGTAACACCTGGCTTCGTCATGTGTGATGTCAGGTTTCTTCTCTTGCAGAAGTGACTACAGTGACAGTGGCCAATGTGGGGGCCTCTGCAGACAATGTCTTCACGACATCAGTGGCAAATGCGGCGTCCATCTCAGGACATGTGCTGGTAAGCTGCTTGGGGGGTGGAGGCACAGTCCAGGATGACTGACTCTGTCCTGGGGTGGAGGAGGTTTCTCCACACCTCTCCTCACGACCCTCCCTGGGTCCAGCATGCGTGAGCATTCGCATCTGTTCTGTTCGTGTGTTGTGGAGGGCATTCGTGCCTCCCTCTGCTCTCAGGAGCACCTGGGGCTGGGCTGGGAAGGCGAGGTCAGTGTGGATCCTGCCCCACAGCTGGCTGGGCAAGGAGTCCTGTTTTGGGCCGAGGGCCTTGTCCTCACTTTGCTTCACCAATGAGGACAGTGCAGAGTAAACCTGGTTTCTGAGAAGTCACAGAAAGGTGGGGAGATGTGGGAGCTGTCTGGGTGGCAGGTGGGCTGACGTCCTTACCAGATGACCTTGTAACCTGCATTTGGTCTGGCTCAGACTGCTCTCCGCCTGAGGTCCAGCTTATACCCAGCAGCTGGCCCTGCCCACTTGGCTTGTTCGTGGAGCTCCGTAGACACTCAAAAAGAGCTGTATATCTGGCCTCCCCCATTCTGTTGGGCTTATGCTCCATCAGCCCATCCTCCCAAGCTTATGGCTGTAGGCGTTCTATCTGTCACATTTCAATGGGATCTGTGCCCAAATTCAGAGGTCTTTCTTGGTCCCATTGCATTGGTCTGCTGTCTGTGTGAGGCCTTCAGAGACTGGGCACAGTCTTGTCAGACAGGCCTGGTTTCCCAAGGCAGGTGGAGGTGAGAACGGTCTCTAGAAAGGGGCTGTTTAGGGAGCACTTTTATTGTTTATTTTGACAAGTTTGGAGACACTGCTCAGACTCACAGACATGTAGGGTTGTTTCTCCTTCTTGGTTCTGTCTTTTTTTTTTTTTTTCTTTTTGATTCTGTCTTTTAAGTTTCTTTCTTTCTTTCTTTTTTTTTTTTTCAGTATTGGGGTTTGAATTCAGGGCCTACACCTTGAGCCACTCTAACCAGCCCTTTTTCTGTGATGGGTTTTTTCTTGTTCTTTCTTCCCCGCCCTGAATTTAAGGTCACAGAAATGGCTCTTGTGCCTGTTTCCCAGTATTGAGTTGGCGCTTATCCTATCCAGTAGGTCTGCATGGGTGCCAGTGCTGCTAGGATTGAAGGCAGAGGGAGTCACGTATTGTCAGGTGACTCTGTAATCCCTTCCTGAGATTCTTTTTTCCCAAGAACTGAGGTTTGAACTCAAGGTCTATACCTTCAGCCACTTTTCCAGCTCTTTTTGGTGATGGGTTTTTTCAAGATAGGGTCTTGCAAACTATTTTCCCAGGTTGGCTTCAAATTGCAATCTTCCTGATTTCTGTCTCCTAAGTAGCTAGGATTGCAGGTGCAAGCCACCAGTGCTTGGCTGTGTAAGTTTCTTGGGGACATCTCTGGAGAGGATGTTGTGGACCTGGGTGATAAATGGCCCTCTTCTGGTGATGAATGGCCAGAGGTTTGCTTTAGGGCTAAGTGATGTGCCTCTGGCCAGTCTGGAGCTGACCCAACAGAGGTGTTCTTCTTCTTCCTTCTAGTCTGGTAGGACAGCCCTTCAGATCGGGGACAGCCTGAACACCGAGAAAGCCACGCTGATTGTTGTCCATACAGATGGGAGCATTGTGGAGACGACCGGGCTGAAGGGTCCAGCGGCTCCTCTCACCCCAGGTACCAGAAGCACCAGCTCCCCAGGCCTTCTGAAGCTTTTTTTTTTTTTTTTGGTAAATTTGGGAAACAAATAGTAGACTTAAGTAGCAAAGGAGGAATTTTCCAGGCATAGAGAGAACTGCCTATGGCAAAGAGGTGGCACCAACATGCTGGGCCATCCATGTGCACCTGAGAGAAGCTAGGGTAATGTGAGCAGAGCACCCTGGTTACATGGGTCTCTCATCCTCATAGCCTCTCTTTGCCCAGGTCCTCAGTCTCCTCCAACCCCGCTGGCACCTGGCCAGGAGAAGAGTGGCACCAAGTACAACTGGGACCCCTCGGTGTATGACAGCGAGCTACCTGTGCGCTGTCGGAACATCAGTGGCACGCTCTACAAGAGTAGACTCGGCTCAGGTGAGGCTGCACCTCACACGGCCCCTTCCCACTTCATTTCTTTTGTGACCCACTAGTAATCCTGGGCCCAGGAGGCCTGTCACGGCACTTAACCTCTTAAAGGAGATGGAGATACAGATGACACCACCCCCAGTGACTAGAGTCTGGGCTGTGGCGGGCATGGGTCTGCAGATGAGGTCAGAGTCATAGTGACCCTATGTCAGGAGAGAAAGTGGGAGAGGCGGTGCGGCACTCTTTCCAGACGTAGGGTGGGGAGATGCCCAGTTGGGACATGATGTTGCTTGCGAGATCAAACAGGAGGGCAGAGGCACAACCTGCAAACGGGTTTGGGATGACTTGCCTATGGGGTGAGAGCAGAGGCCAGGCAGGGTAAGGGGCAAGCAGGTAGGAGGTGGAGAAGGAGAAGATGGAAGGACCTGGTGTCAGCCACCAATGAGCTGGGATATGTCCTAGTGACCAGTCCACTTTCTTTCCAGGTGGTCGGGGCCGATGTATCAAGCAGGGGGAGAACTGGTACAGTCCAACAGAGTTCGAGGCCATGGCAGGAAGAGCCAGCAGCAAAGATTGGAAGAGAAGCATCCGCTATGCAGGCAGACCCCTGCAATGCCTCATCCAGGTGCAGTCTGCACCATGACCAAGTGTGTGTGGGGGGGGCAAGGTCCAGACAGTGGGAAGAATGAAGACTGTGGGGTCAGACAGGGTCTGACACCTACACTTGCTATGTTACCTTGGGTTTGTACTTGTCCCCTCATCTTCCCAGTGGGAAGTTGCTGATGTTGACCTGGAGGGTGGCCATGGGGAGCACATGAGGTGACAGAATAGGCTCGGGAAAGGGGAGTGTTCAATCCTGGGGAGTAAAGGTAGCGTAGTCAGGTGAAGCTCTGGCTGCCTGCCTGTGACCCTATAAGAGGCTATCTTCCCCTGCTTCTCTCCCATTTCCTCCTGAGGAGAGAGGACTTCCTATCCTGGTTCTAGGCCAGCTTCCGGAGTGTCTGGTGAAATAATGCCTGTGGAGTCTTTCACTCCTGAAGGTGGTTCTGGAAATGATCATTTCATGTCTTAGATTTTTGTCTGTGTGAACAGTGCGTGCTCAGTGAAGCTAATCGAAATCTTGAACGACTCCTCCCAGGGGCAGACTCTAACATATGGATGCACCTTCTGCATTCTAGGATGGAATTTTAAACCCTCACGCCGCCTCTTGCACCTGTGCTGCCTGCTGTGACGACATGACCCTGGTAAGTCGCTGGGCAGGTCCAGACAGAGCCTGCCTTGCTTCTTGCCCTGCTTCTCTCATTCTCTTCCTGCAGAGCCTCAGTCCCTCCTTCTGTTGGGTACTTTTGTCCCTTGTGGTCTGGTATCACTCTGATTGCTGCTGCCTCCACTGGGTTGGGAAAGGTCCAGGACTCTGAAATGAGGCAGCCCCATGGATCAACCAGGTCAGCCCCAAATCCAGCACACCCTTTTAACGTGGTTGAAACACATGTATCTGTGCTGCTTCACATTCTGCAGCTTCAACATTGTCTAAAAGCACCCCACTAGGCTTAATGTGGGGGAAAAAAAGTTTTTCTTTTTCCTTTTTTTTTAAATAGCAGCACTGGGGTTGAACTTAAGGCCTCATGCTTATAAGGCAAGCACTCTTACCTGCCTAAGTCATTCCGCCAGCCCTTTTTTTGTTGTTGTTTTGTTTTGTTCTGTTTTGTGGCACTGGAGTTTGAACTCAGGGCCTCACATCTTCTCTGTCACTTGAGCCACTCTGCCAGTTGTGAGGGATTTTTTTCAATATAGGGTCTCATGACTTATTTGCCTGGGGCTGGCTTCGAACTGCAATCCTCCTGATCTGTGCCTCTTGAATAGCTAGGATTACAGGCTGGCTGAGAAAGTGCCTCTTTATCTTCCATTCTTGACTGCTTCAGGAAGAAACAAGACCTTTCTCATTGATTTTGGTTAATATTGTGTGGCTTTCAATAGTGTGGTACTGATTTGTAGCATCTGAAGTACTACTTTCATTTTGCTTTTCCTTAGTGTTAAAATTATTACAGAATGCCTTAAAATTAATTTAAAAGCTACTTAATGTTAACTTCTTGCTTTAGTGTTTTTACTGAACTGGTTAATTACCAGACGATAAAAAAGGAGACTTAATTAGAGAGACATACCATGTTCTTGATTTAAACCTACATATTTTTAAATCATTTAGATTTAATGTAATTCTACTAGAACAACCAGTTTTGTGAAAATAAGATGATTTTAAAGTCCATTAGGAAAAACCCAGTAGTTGAGACTGTCAGATATTGAGAGTAAAAGCAGTGAGAAGAACTTGGTCCTGCAGGGTCCTTTATAGGTGCTCCAAAACATGAAAATGTATGTGTAAATCTAATACAGGGTGAAGGAATTTGTATACTGAAACTAAAAAGAGCCAATAAAAGCAACGAGAAGAGATTTGGATTCTTCTGGAGGCACTGCATATACACAGATTGGATGACTTAGGATGGTGAAGATGTCAGTTTCCCCAAACTGACCTGAAGGTTTAGCACAATTAAGGATTCTTTGTAGGTGCAAACCAATTCTAAAACAAAAAAATTAAATAGCCAAACGGTTTTGAAAAAGACATCTGAAATTAGCAAAACCACACTCAGGTGTCAGTACAGTAACCAGGACAGCATGGTATCAGAAGAGGAAACCTGAGGGGTCTTGGTAGTAAACTAGGGAGCCCAGCCAGTGGTGTTGGAAACATTGCAGTTCATAGGTGGGGAATGAGCTTTGACCCAAATTCATACATCAAGTTGAATCAAACATCTGATTGTAAGAGGAAAGTTGTGGCATTTTTAGAGGGAAACACCTGGGGTTAGACCCAGGGTTTCTTTCAGGTCCAGTCAAAGGCATAGCCCTTAGACACAAAACCAGTAAGTTGGGCCTCATCAAATTTTTAAACTCTTAGCTCCACTTGGAACTGTGAGGCACTCCCTAAACTTGCTTCCCAGAGAGGTAACTGTAGCTGGTAAAAATTACAGAAAACAGCCACTTGAGGTCTCTAGAGATTGTCTTCTTGGCCCAAGGAGAATGCCAAATCTGAAAAAACAGCAGGCAGTGCAGTGGAGGCATCTGATCCACGACCACTACCTCACTCCCCACCTTCCCCCAGGTCACACTGCAGGAGGCTCCATTCTGGGTCTCTGTGGCTAAGAAAACTTCTAGTCAAGGAACTGGTACCTCATGGCAGGGGCAGGCCACCTGCTTTGCTCAATCCTCCAGCTCCAGGTTGCAGGAAATTTCCAGCAAGTGGGACTCACTCCTTCCCTCAGTCCTGCTCCGCCAGCATGGCTGGCTACACCAGCTGCCTGGTGCCCTCAGCACAACTTGCTCATAGGGTGAGGTTCCAGGCTGTGATGGCCACTGCCCCTGCTCAGGTCCTTGGTCACATGGAAGGACTGCTGTGCTGATGAGGGAGAGGTAGACTATAGGAGCAGAGAACACCTAAGCTCTTGCTGAAGAAACTAGCTTCCTTTGAGAAGCTGGGGACATCCAGGCCGAGGAGGCAAGTGAAACTGCAGGGAGGCTGGCAGCTCAGCAGAGCATGATGCTGCCTGGGTCAGCCAGCTCGCAAACTGAGGCAAGCACCAAGGAGAGCAGTGGCTGATGAGCCTGCTGCAGATGACAGCAGGCTTCGTGACTACCCCTTGTGCTGTAGAGAGCCCCGTTTAACTGGCTCAAACAGTGCTGATTTCACCCCAGGACACTGGGAACCATGAAGCCTGACAGCAGCTCTGCCAGTGGCCCAAGCACACAGCCGTCCAGCCAGAGTCCTCAGGAGCCATTGCACTCTGAAGGGGAGGACCCTTTAGCCAGACAGCTAGGCCCCACAAACAACAGCAAGAAGCCCAGAGGAGTTAGTACCCACTGCGGCTACAACAATGTCTGGTGTTCAACAAAAAATGTAAGCCATGCAGAGAAGCAGGAAGTATGAATCAGGGACAGCAGGAGGGGCCCAGCTGCTGAGTTAAGCAGACAAGGCTTCAAGGAGTTGAAGGAGCCACTTAAGGAATTGGGAGAGCCAGGTATGGTGACTCACGCCTGTAATCCCAGCTACTGAGGAGGCAGAGGCAAGAGATTTTCAAGTTCCAGGCCAGCCTGGGCAACTTAGCCAGACCCTGTCTCAAAATAAAATAAAGGGCTGGGGGTGTAGCTCAATTGAAGAGCACGTACCTAGTTGGTAACTGACTCTTGGTTCAATTCCCAGTGCCACTCTCTCCCCCACTCACACACACATACAAAAAAGAAAAGAAAAGGGGAAGAAAACAGCACTTAGGACAAATGATGAAGCCATTGGAAGTGGTGGGAAGGGACCGTGTTCCCGCAGCTGGACACGTGTGGAGAAAGGATTTGGTGGTACCATCCCTGAGGACCATCTGGGGCCTGGGCCCTTCTAAGGGATGTCTGTGAATCCGTGTTTCTTCCTGCTGCATATTCTGGCCTTTTCTCTAGTTTCTTGTCCCCAACGGCTCTTCCTGAACCATCTGCTGACTGAGCCATGTGCAGCTCTTGTCTTCACTGGCTGCTCCCTTGTTCTGGGCTGTGGTTTTTCTTGTTCCGCTTTCCCTTGGTCTCCCTTCCTTCCACCGCCTTCTAGAAACTCCCAAGGTCCCTCGTGTCATTGATGCTTTCTTGCTTGGCAGCAATTCCTCTGGAAAGCATCTTCTGTTCAAGGAGCAGTGAGCTTCCTCTTGTGGCTTGGTCTTCATCACTCACACAGTGTGATAAGGAGCAGGAGGCATGCACCCTGCCCCACCCCAAGTGTTGCCATGGGCCAGCTTTGCCTTTCTCCACAGAGTGGTCCAGTCAGACTCTTCGTTCCTTACAAAAGGCGCAAGAAGGAGAACGAGTTACCCACAACTCCAGTGAAGAAAGACTCCCCCAAGAACATCACGCTGCTCCCTGCCACTGCGGCCACTACCTGTGAGTACTCTCTGTCTTAGCCCGACTACAGGGTAGTCATGCCTGAGGCACCTGCTGCAGGGCTGGACAGGTGGTCAGCACTCCCACTCCTGTCTCTGTATCTGTGACTCTGGGTGGGCCACCTTGGATGGCCCTTGCCTTCCTCCCTGAGGCTTATTCCTCAGCCTGCCTGGTGTTACCTGGCTCATCCTGGGCTGTTCCCAGCCCTGAGAGTGGCTCCAGTTGTGTGACACATGCTCACTCATCTTCCCCTGACCGAGCCCTGGGTCCCCACAGCACACCCATGGAAAACACCTCAATGCAGTGGACGAGGGCTGCGAGACCCCTATAACCAGGAGACTTGTCAACCCTGGCCCCCAGGTGCTTCAGGTGGCCATCCATGTGAATGCCTTCTGAGCAAAGCTGCCTTTCATGTGTACTTTCAGCAGCTCTCCTGTTATCTGAACTGCCCAGGGGAAGGGGAGTTAGGAGGGTTGAGGGGAAATCTGACTTTTTTTGGGGGGTGGAACTGGGGTTTGAACTTAAAACTTTACACTAGCAAAGCCTGTGTTCTAACACTTGATCCATACCTCCAGTCCATTTTTGCTCTGGTTATTTTGGAGATGGGTTTGCTCAAACTATTTGCTCAGCTGGCCTTGAACCACAATCCTCCCAATCTCAGCCTCCCAAGTTGCTAGGATTATAGGTGTAAGCCACCTGCACCCTGTGAAATCTGACTTTAAAAACAAAAAACAACACATTATGAGAGCAGAGTGTGGTGACTTATGCCTATAATCGTAGCTTCTCTGAAGGTGGAGATCAGGAGGATCAAAGTTTGAGGCCAGCCAGGGCAAAAAATTCTTGAAACCCCATGTCAACCAATAAAAACCTGAGCATGGTGGTATGTGCCTATCATTCCAGCTATGCAGACAGCTGAGATAGGAGGATTGTGGTCCAGGCCGACTCAGGCATAAATGTGAGAGCAAGGCTCTGAGTCCAAACTGGTGGTGGTACCACCACCAAAAAAAAAATAAAAATAAAAAATGCACAAAATGGGTAGGAGAGGCCAAGGGTGGAAGTGGCCATGGGAGGCCTTTGTCAGACAACCTCAGAATGGTTCTCCATCTGTGAGCCTCTCTTCCGCACATGTGGGTGCTGACTGTCTCCTATCCAGAGGGTAAGGGAACATCTCACAGGCTAATCACAGAAAGAGAGTAGAGAAGAGCTGAAGGGATATAACTGTTTTCTGTCTTCAGCTTTGATGCTTTTTCTTAATTTAAACTACAAAGTATTTTTTAAATTATTTAAATTTATTTTGTTTGCTGACTGACAGCACATTGCTGGGTCCATAGTCCCACAGGAGAGCCTGTGTCCTGCCCTGCTGTTGCTCTTCCCCCACTACCCAGGTCACTGACTTCTCAGTGTCCTGGCAGATGTTGGGGACGTCACTGTGCCTGCTTTGGCCTGGCTCCTGGGGTCTTTATGAGACCTGCTTCCTCTTGGGCAGCACACGCACAGGGCCCAGAGCCCAGAACCCAGCCTGGCTGTATATCAAGTGTGCTTCTGCCTTTCCAGTCACCGTGACACCCTCAGGACAGATCACTACCTCTGGGGCGCTGACCTTTGACCGGGCGTCCACTGTGGAGGCTACTGCTGTCATATCCGAGAGCCCAGCCCAGGGCGATGTCTTTGCAGGAGCCACAGGTAAGTGGTAGGCACCTATCTGACATTCCCAACCCCTAAGGCAAGTCTTTACAAGTTGGGTCTGTTTTGTGGTTGGTGCCTCAGGAGGGGCCTTGAACAGGGCCTGGTTGGGAACAGTGTGGGTATCAAATAGTGTGCAGGTGTGCATGTGGCTAGGCAGGTAGTGTGGGAGTTGATTATTTTTGATAGCGCCCACAGGATCAGCAGAGCGTTCAACAATGCCTGCTTTAGGCTAGGGCCATCCAACAAAGAGAATTCCCGCCATGTGTGTAGTTGTCACTATTTAGGAGTCACACTAGGAAAGTGCTTGAAACAAGTGAGATTACTTTTGTTATAAACGTCACCAACTCTATCCAAATTCCTTCACGGGGTCAATGAAGACCCAATCACATTCCAGACACTAGGTGGCTGCCACCTGTGCCGGGAGCTATGAATTGAGTATGCAGTTGTAGGGACTTGGATTTAAACCATCTGTGTGCCAAACTACCTGTCCCTCTTCTCACCCACAGTGCAAGAGGCCAATGTGCAGCCCCCGTGCAGGGTTGGCCACCCTGAGCCCCACTACCCTGGCTATCAGGATAGCTGCCACATCGCCCCGTTCCCAGAAGCTGCACTGCCAACGTCACATCCCAAAATAGGTGAGTTTGAAAGGATCCACTCATGTGCAGGTCATTGTCCTCAGAATTGCTGCTTTTTTTTTTTAATGTGGTGCCGGGGTAGAAGTCAGGAGCTCACAAGTGCTAGGCAAGTGCTCTGCCCCTGGGGTATGGCCCCAGCCCCAGAATTGCTTCTCCTGAGAGAATTTCCAAGTGAAATGGCCAGCCATGGTAGTTTTTTTTGGAAGCCTGAGGTCAGGACTGGTGAGATAAAGTTTTATGGATCACCACTGTGCCCATCACTTATGTATAAGGCTCTACCCATGAGGCCTAGAATAGGTATTGTCAGGCCCTCTGTTATGAGGAGGAGCGTGTTCACAGAATGTCTTCCCTGCCAAGACGGACATCCCTGTTGTCTCCATGCTGGCATCCTGTCTGGAGAGACTTTGCAGAGATGACACTGCTCTTGGTGTGCTTTGAATTTGGTTTTTCACTTAGCTACATGTTTTGCACTTTTTATTTTATTTTATTTTATGTATTTATTCAGCAGTCCTAAGTTTTGAATTCAAGGGCTCTGCCACTTGACCATGCCTCCAGTCCTTTTTGCTTTAGTTTGCTTTTTCAGATAGGGTTTTGGTTTTTTTTTTTTTGGTCTTCAATGGTACTGGTGTTTGAACTCAGGGCTTCATGCTTGCTAGGCAGGCACTCTACCACTTGAGCCACTTCACCAGCCCTCAGATAGTGTCTTGTGCTTTTGCCTTGGCCAGCCATGGACCCTGATCCTCCTACCTATGCCTCCCTTGTAGCTGGTATTTCAGGAGTGCACTGTCACACCCAAACCCTACATATTGCACAGCTTTTTGAGTTTTTTTGGTGGTACTGGGAGCCTCATGCTTGCTAAGCAGGCCCTCTACCCCACCTTCAGCCACATTTTGCACTTTCTAAAAGTGCATGTGTGGCTCAAGCAGTGGAGTGCCTGCTTTGCATGCATAAGCCCTGAGTTCAAACCCCAGTCCCATCGAAAAAAAGGTGCACATAATCAATAACTATTGCTTGAGCTGCCCTCTGCTGATAGACTTCAGGGTTTCTTTCTTTTTTTTTTTTTTACATTTTTTAGCATTACAGACAATGCATTGAGAAACTTGTCTATAAGTTAAAAGGAAAAAAACTCACCTCTAATTCTCACTTGCTGTTTCATCAGCCTCTCTTTGTCTAACTCTTCCACCCTTCAAGGTCCCTCAGGGTCTACTTTCATCCAGACCCCACCTTTATCTTGCTTCCCACCTCTGTGGAGGTGGAGCAATGTCCTATCCTGGTGTGGCTCTTCCTCATGGCTTGTGTCCTTCATCGCTCATCACTGCGCTCAGCTGGCAGGAGACCCCCAAGAATTTTTTGGAAATCATCTCAAATATACAATAAAGGCCCAATTACAGTACAAGGAACTTTTTCTCCCTAAACTATTTGAGAGTAAGTTACAGAATCACCTGGTGTACTTCAGTGTGTTTTTCCTGGAAACAAGGACAGCGTGGAAGTCAGGAAGTGAGCATGGACTCTGGTTGCCATTGATTCTGAGCCAGCGACTGGAGGTCCCCAGCTGCAGGGCCAGTGAGTGCTGTTGTCCTGAGCTCGGCCCCTCACACTCCCCCTCCTGCCTCCATGCTGTTGGGTTACCATGACCATTTGGTGGCTCACTCCTTACCTTGGGGCTTCAGGGTGTCAGTGTCATCTCCCATGGCTCCTGCTGCTCAGGGTGACCCTGACCCCCGGGTAAGGGTGGTAAAGTGTGTCTGCCCCACCCCTGCCCCTGAGGCCACAGAGGCCTACATTGCCTCACCACACTTCCCACCAGTTTCAAACCAAGACCTCCTATTTTTCCATGGGTCACAACTGCTTCTGTTGGCATGGCACAGTGGAGCACACCCGTAATCCCAACCCTCAAGAGGCTGAGGCAGGAGGATCATAAGTTTGAGGCCAATTTGGGCTGCACAGTGAGACCTTGTCACACAAAGAAAGATGATAACTTTACTGTCACTGTCATTTACGCTTACAGACTTGGCCAGTAGAGCCAACCAGCTGCTGTACTGGCCTGTCCCTTGCTCCCAGCTCTTCCTTACTTCCTGCCTCAACTGGACCCTTGAGGCTCATCCTTTCGGTGGTGAATGGTGTTTCTGGCCCTGGTCACAGCGAGCTGGAGCGCTTGGTCCCTGGCTCTTGTGAGGACTGCATCTTATCCAGCTCATGTCCAGGGGACCTCACAGTGGGGACGGGGACCACTGGTTGCTCGTGGAGTGTGTCTGCCTGACATGGGATAGAGACAGATACTATGTGTCCTTGCACACACTCACACACCCCTCAGTTCTAGACCTGTCTGCAGGTGGGAGTTTGCAGTGTCCAGTTCAGTGTAAACCATGGTTTGTGCTGGTTCCCACTACCCACCCTGGTGGCTTTCTTTAGCTGTGAGGATCCCAACTCCTGTTGCTCTTAGTAAAAGCCTGTGTGAGAGTCCAGACCCAGGAAGCGTTTCCAGGTGAACAGACATGGAGCTGGAGCTCTGGTTCTCCTGTCTATGGTGCAGGCTATGTTTTGCCAGTGCCCCTGCCCTCACCATGCTGGTCCCTTGGTCAACTCTATACATGTGTCATGGCCACCCTGCCCTGAGTGTATCTCTCATCTATGAACATGGGCTCTTGGCCTTGGGTAGGATGTGCATTAGGAAGGTGTAGTGTGGAGTGCACATGAGGGGAAGGGACGGGATGCCTTTCTATCTCTGAGCGTGTTGGGGCAGTCTCGGGCAGCCATCTGTGCCTTTTGGTCCTTTCACCATCTGTTCCCCCAGGTGGATAGGACCGTTTCCATTTTGAAACTTGGAAATCTGTAACTTCTTGGTTTATCCTGTTTTTCACACATTCCAGTCCTGACATCCCTGCCTGCCCTGGCAGTACCGCCCTCCACCCCCACCAAAGCCGTCTCCCCCGCAGTAGTCAATGGGCTGGAGATGTCGGAGCAGCGGAGCTGGCTGTACCTGGAAGAGATGGTCAATTCTCTGCTCAGCACCGCACAGCAGCTGAAGACGCTATTTGAACAGGCCAAGCAGGCCAGCTCCTGCCGAGAGGCTGCCACAACCCAGGCTCGAATGCAGGCCGATGCCGAGCGAAAAGAGGTAATGTGAGTTCAGACCTTCTGTGTCCACTGTCCTCTGTGGTCCTGACCCAGCATGTGCTTCCCACGATGGCCCTCAGGCTTGCTGCCCCACCCTGGTAGAGAAGGGAACCCTGGAAAACCACCTCAGGGAGGCTTTCCCCACAGAGGGGCAGCTGTGCCTGAGAAGGCCTTCTGCTCCTATAATCCTAACTACTTGGGAGGCTGAGATCAAGAGGATCATGGTTCAAGGACAGCCAGGACAAATAGTTCATGAAACCTCATCTCCAAAATAACCAGAGCAAAATGGACTGGAGGTGTGCTCAAGTGGTACAGAGTATACCACTGTATGCCCAGCTTGTTGGTTGAGATGGGGTCTCCAGAACTTTTTTGCCTTGGTTGACTTTGAACCACAATCCACCTGATGTTCATCTCCCAAGTAGCTATGATTATAGGCCTGAGCCACCTCGCCTGGGTCCTTCAGTTATTTTTCAGGTAGGGTCACGAGAGCCTCCTGATCACCTCCTGTGCAGCTAGGATTACAGATGTGAGTCACTGAACTCTGCTGTGGACCCACCTTACCTGGCTAAAATACTTTTTTTAAAAAGTGCAATTCTAGGGGACTGGGGATATGGCTCAGTGGTACAGGGCTTGCCTAACACATGTGAGGTCCTGGGTTCCATTCCCAGCACCACACAGAAAATGAATAAATTATTAAAAGAGTAGTTCTGGACTGATACATACTCCATGCTGAAGTTCGTGGAAAACAGAAGCACTTAAGGGGTGGGAGGGAGGCGCTGTCACTCCTGTACCCAGAGGTCATTAACACTCCCATGCCCTTCTGGACTCCAGGACGTTGAAGCAGAGTTTGTGTACCGTGAATGCGTGTGTGCCAGTCACGGTCAGTGAGCTTGGGTGCATGTGTCACGAGTCACACTGAGGACACTGCCCCAGGCGGCTCCACGCGTTCCCCTCCAGCGACCCCACCCTCAGACTATGCCGCTGTCCTGGATTCTGTCAGCAGAGGTCAGCTCTGACCTTGTGGAATGTCACACAGTGTCCTGTTCCTTTTGCTGGACACGCCTTTGAGGCTCAAGGCTCACCTTCCTCCACTGTGCAGCAACATCTGTAGAAATGGTTTCCCTCCCTGAGCTGCCTCGGGAGATTTCCTGGGAATGAGTCGATGGCCTCCTGCTGATCTGCTTGTCCTTGACCTGGGTTATTCGAAAATGTGTTTAATTCTCAGATAGATGATGCTTTTCTGGACTTCCTCTCACAGTGACTTCTTAGTTTCACTGTGGTTCTGGGGGTGATTTCAGTGCTTTCATGTACTGTTTCTGAGACTGGTCTCACTATTGTAGCCCAGGCAAGCCTCAGCCTCCCCAGTGCTGGGATGACAGGCACCGTCACACACAGCTGTGCTTTCAAATTTATTAGGGAGTCTGGACTCGGTTTATGCCACAGTGTGCTCATTCTTGGTGCACATTGGTTGTACATTTGACAAAAAGTCTGATTTGGTGTTGGTTTTAGGTTTGACAGTGCCGTTAGGCCCAATGGTTCATAGTGCATTTGAACTCCTCAAACTTGCCTTCAGTCTGAAGAGTTGAACCTTGGCACTTAAACTTTCTGTAGAGCCAACTGTTCCTGTTCCTTGGTGCACTCACACTGTGTAAGAAGCAGACAAAAACTCCAAGCTCTGAATCTAGAAACACAACAGCAGAGATAAAAATCACTAGATGGCTAAATGGCATCCTGGAAACAGCGAGACAGAAACATTGAGCCTGAGGTCAATGTCTGAATGCACAGACCATTCAGCTCCACAGACCATTCAGTTGCATTCAGAGAACTGAAGCCGACAGGAAGCAGCTCTATGCTATCTGTACATGTCTCTCTTTCCTGTGTTTTCTGAGGGACGTTTTGGGTGACTGTCCTGAGCTGTCACTTTTCTCCACCTGCCACACTGATGATGTCTTTACTTTCTCTCCTGGCCAAGACTTCTGAGGACCCAGCACTGTTTGTGTTTGTCTCTCCTTCACTGCTTTCAAGAAATTCTCCAGGGCTGGAATGTAGCTCAGTGGCACAGTGTAGCATACACAAAGCCCTGGGTTAGATCCCCAGCACAGACACAAAACAAACAAACAAAACCAAAGTGCTGTGATATACATGCCTGTAATCTTAGCTACTCAGGAAGCTGGGGCAAAGGATGGCAAGTCTGAGGCCAGCTTGGGCAACTTAGCAGACCCTATTTCAAAATAAAAGAAATAAAGAGGCATGGGGGTATAGCTCAGTGATAGAGCATGTACCTAGGATGCTCAAGGCCCTGGGTTCAGTCTTCAGTATTGAAAAAAAAGAAAGAAAAGGAGGGACAGTGCACCACCCAGACACGGGTGTTGGCACATCTGCTAACAGCTGCAATGAACGTCTTAACATCAGGGGTATTTGTGGTGGAAAAGCATGCTGGGGTTTGGCTCAAGTTCACCTTAAGATAAGTGACCCCTTGTTCTGACACCTGGTAATCACTCTTGCCGTTACACAGATTTATCACATGGGCCCAGAGATTTCAAGGTTGGCCACCTTGTTATATTTGGGTCATTCTGTCATAGATGTGTAAACAGCTGTTTACAAAGGATGGGTCATTTCAGATGCTCCCCTCAAGACAGGTGTCTATCTTTGTGATAAGTATTTTCCTTTGCAAACACTTTTTGTACCCAGAGGAATCATTTCCCCAAGAGTTTTATCCCTGTTGAAGTGTCATTCTTCAGCATATCCTTGCTCAGTTCCCAGAGTGCACTAATGACTGGGCAAGCGGGCAAGGCTTTTTACTAAATGTTTGAGCTTATTTACTAAATGGGAGGCTTAAAGCAGAGAAGGTAGCACCTGTGTGCTTTTAATCAATCCGTTCATTAATATAGTGCTTCTCTCTGAATTCCTTGCTGCTGTTTCCCATGTCTTGTTCTTCCTGACCCATCCTGCCTCCGGCCCAGCAGGGAGGAGGATATGAAGAGTTATCAGCTGTGGTAAAAGAAGGCACACAGGGAAGAACAGACTCAGACGGGGTTCGGATCTGTTGTGGAGGTCAGCAGCCTACAGGACACTGGAGGAATTTGCTGCTTTGGTCAGGTCACAGCTGGTCTGGTACTTCTGGCGAGCAGGAAGTGCCTTGTGCAGGTGCAGCTGGAGCAGGCAGGCAGAATTGGTGACGAGGCACAGAGGGAGTTGGGTGTCTACAGAGGTGGCCATGAAAGTATGTAGGCTCTGCTGGGGCCACCACTGTGCTCAAAGCTGCATCGTGTCACCCAGTTCTTCTGTGCAGTGCTGTCCTGAAGGGAAGGGTTGGAAGGTGTCCTGTGATCCCAGTCTATTGCCAGGGATGCATGGGATCCTATCCCATGTCTCACTCACCTTGACACCTTCCCTCATGACAGCATCTTAAACATCTCTACAGACTGCAGTGTTCCGCCATCTCAGGATCCATTTGTGTTGGCTGCTGTGACTCCATGGTGGGATCCTCTTTGCTTTCTGTATGTGTCTGGTAATGTCTGGCTGTGCGTTAGACGTTGCGGTTGATCTACAATATCTGGTTTCTGTTGGATCTGGTTCCCTTCTCTGAAAAGTCTTGGGCATTGTGGCAGCAGGCAGTCAAGGCAGGCCCCTGACAAGGAAGGCACGTGGCTCTTGTGCCTGACACACCCTACTGTTAGGTGTGGACACCGCTGGTGACCTCTAGACACTGGGGTCTGGGGCACTGGGATCCATGCTCCTCTATACTGTCTTCCAGCCTTTTCGTTCCCATGTATCCTGAGCAGGGCTTGAGGGGAGGGTGTGCTGTGGGAGCTCCCCCTCAGTCTCCAGCCTCCTGGCAGCCCCAGCCCTGGGCCTCTACTGGGATGACAACAGCCCCTGTGTGCTGTGGCTATCCTGTCCTCATTTGCTGTTTAGTCACAGGTCACTTCCACCTGGGTTTCCTGGGCACTGACCTATGTCCACTGGGTAAGCCAGTTTGCTTCACATCACTCCTGAAAGGCTGGGCTTTGAACTTTGTTCGTAATTTTCCGTATTTCTAAGAGTAAAATGTGTTGTGGAATCACCACACTGTCAGGCAGAAGACCACTCAGCCCTTGGTTAGAGAGCTGTGCCTCCCCTGTCAACCCTGCCAGGCTCCAGCACTTGCCCTGAGCACTGGGGCCAGGCTGGCTGTTAGCTGTGTTGTACTCATGCCCCTTTCTCCTTTCTCTCCCTCCCTCTCTCTCTCTCTCTCTCTCACATCTGACTTGCTGTTCCTAAGTACTTTTATTGAGTTGAGCGTCTGACCTAGAGGAGGCCAGGTGACATGCTGCCCCACCCCAGTGTCACAGGTAGAGGGGTCGATGTGTGTACCCATGTAGTATGACCCCACACATTTCCTCTTGCAAACTTTTGTGACTTAGGGGAAGAATCAAATGTAAATTTAATTGGAATGGGAAATTGATTTCTTATAAGGCAGAACTAGGGAAGAATATGCTGTATGGTATTTGTTGAATATTTGGGGCTCTCAGGCAGTGCCAGCAATTTCCCTTTTGCCTTTTTTTTTTTTTTCGGGGAGAGGGGTGCAGACAGGATCTCCTCTGTAGCCCAGGCTGGCCGCAAACTCACAATCCTCCTGCCTCTGTCTCTTGAGTGCTAGGACTACAGGACACACCGTACTTGGTTCTGTTTTTCCTGTTAACTTGAGTTACTCTTTTTTTGTTACTGTTCTTTATGGTGGTTCTGGGATTTGTAGTCAGGGCTTTGCACTTGCAAGGCAGGTGTCCTGCCACTGGAGCCACACCTCCAGTCCATTTTGCTCTCTGAAACTATTTGCCGGGGCTATCCTCAAAACTCAGTCTTTGCCCCCTGCCTCCCATCAGTCTTGCATTCAGTGTTTTAAACAAGATGATGGCTTTGATGGCAGGGCCATGTACTGGACAGGAGCACGGTCCTGTGAAACAGTGGACTCTGAGTTAGATCTTGAGTCCTTTAAGCTGCAGCCCTATAGGGATCTTA